TATATATATATATAATACAGATTTATTTGTATTTTAGTCCAAATACAGAAATGAAAATACTGAGATACATACCTTATATCGCAAATCAGCCAAAAAATACAGAGATATGAATTTTTGCCCATATCGCCCAGCCCTATTTCAAGTCATTCCACAGTTTTTCAATGGGGTGTGGGCTCTGACTAGGCCATGCAAGGACATTCACCTTTTTCTCCTTCAACCACTGTGTGGTCAGTTTTGCTGTGTGCTTTGGGTCATTGTCATATTGGAAGGTAAACCTTCTTTCTGGCAGAGGGCAGCAGATTTTCTTCAAGAATTTGACTGTATTTTGCCCCATCCATTTTTTCCTTCTATCCTGACAAGTGCTCCAGTCCCTGCTGCAGAGAAACACCCCCATAACAGGACATTACCACCTCCATGCTTTACTGGAGGAATGCTTTATTTCGAAGGTGAGCGGTATTGGGTTTCTGCCAGACATTTCGTTTGGTGTTGAGGCCAAATAATTCAATTTTAGTCTCATCTGCCTCAGAATCTTAAAGGTGTGTTTTGGCAAAGCTCAGTCGTGACTGCATGTGACCTGACTTGTGCCTTGCTTTTGACAGTGCCTTGCCGCCCATAGTTTATTGTTTACTTCAGTTGCACTACCAAGGACTGAAATGCTTGGAAGTCAAATTGCTTTGTGTGCCATTGAGAAGGTTTACAAGTCATTTTTAGGAGGGGGGTGATTCTTTTTCCAACTCAGTGATTCTGTTTTTTAATTTAAAAAATGTTTCTGAGATGTTGGTGTTATATCTTTCACTCGGATGTTATAAGTTGCACAGCTGGATAAAACAAAAACTGTGTCTGTCTTCATTTAAGGCTGCAAAGCAACAAAATGTGTAACAAAAAGCTGTTTTAAACCACATTTTGATCATTCTTTTATAATTATTATACATGCAGGTTTTTTAACCTTATTAATTGAGGGATATTTGTACTTTTGTCATCCTGTGTTGGACCATTAAACTTTGTCATAACTTAACCTAAAAAAAAAATGTTGTGTCAACTACCCTTATTTACAGACATGCTATTGCTCTTTATTGCACTCTTGTGTGCTGTTGTCAGTGAAATGAGTAACTGAGAAAATGCCAGTCTGACCATCTTCTGTACATCCATTGACAATAGCGGGAAAAAAATTATTTATTTTGAATACTGATTACCATTTTGAATTCTGAATGATTTTGAATACTGATACCATGAGTGCATACATTTTCCAATAACTACAGCATGTAAACCTGACTTGGTTAATTGTAGTCATTGATTATTTGTAATAACTCCTTTTGTAACACTTTCTGGCCTGATCAGATCCCTTTGAATGTAAGAAGTGAGAAGCTACACCCGCTTATTGATTCCAGTCCCCTGGGCTTCGACGACAGCCCTGACATCCGTCCCTCAGACTGGCAGTGGCCGCAGGTGCAGTGTCTTGGAGCTGGGGGCCACAGTTGCCTTCCTCTGCCAGAAGGGCTGGGATCGGGACAAGTGTGGCCCGTAACTACCAGCTCTGGGAATCTCGACAGAGTATGGTGAGAGACCGCGGCTGCAATGGAGCTGCAGGATAAAAAATATGTAAGTCTCATGATCACACTAGTCTCATGATAATAACATGTTTAATTAATAAATATTCGTACTGTTTTTGTAGTAGAATTTAATTAATTAGTATGGTTACATTTTCGAAACAAAGTCCAGCCGCATGCATTAATTACTCTCATGTAATATGACACAGACTGTGAACTCAAACTCATTGACCCTGCCCTGGGCTTCAGCAATGCTGAGTCTGCATATTTATTCTTGTTATCAATTGAAAACTCATGCACACAACCTTGTGTGTGGCCTTGAATGTCTAAATTTGCCTTTGTCTGAATTAATTTTTTAACATTGCTTGTGTTTGACAGCATCATTAAAGTCATTATATATAATTGGCAGTAATGATGTTGCTGTGTTCCGCTCTTGGTTCTTGTCTTTACCTGTATTGATTTTGCTGAGGTAAGGGAAGTGTGCCGGGATAGTTGTTTCTGTGGTACAGGAACAGGGGGATCTGGATCAGACCCTGAATCTGGAGTGCATTGCAAGGTCGTGAGGTTCAATTAGGATGTGAAGTTTTGTTTAGCATAATGATTAAAATGAAAGTACAATAATTGTGTGACTAGTTTTTGGGGGTAAAGTGGTATTTTGGGTGCTATGCTGCATTTCTAAAAGTTGAAATATTTTACTTCACAACACCAAATGTAAAACATTGAAAAACAGAGAATTATCTTTCAAGTACCCAAGCAGTAGTATATTATATGTTTTACACAAACATTTTTATATCATATCAAATTTTTTATTTTTTTTTAAAGGTGATTTATTTATATTTTAATTTATGTATAATATACTGCTTAATGTAGGCTACTTATAATTTAGTATGGTTTAGATTAAATTTTGTATATTAAAAAAATAATTTAGAAATGTGTGTGTGTTCACGGTGTGTGTGTGCACTTTGGATGGGTTAAATGCAGAGCACTAATTCCAAGTATGGGTCACCATTATTTTTTTGCATGTTTGTCACACTTTAATGTTTCAGATCATCAAACAAATTTAAATATTAGTCAAAGATAACACAAGTAAACACAACATGCAGTTTTTAAATGAAGGTTTTTATTATTAAGGGAAAACAAAATCCAAAACTACATGGCCCTGTGTGAAGAAGTGTTTGCCCCCCTGTTAAAACTGTGATTTATCACACCTGAGTTCAATTTCTCTAGCCACACCCAGGCCTGATTACTGCCACACCTGTTCGCAATCAAGAAATCTCTTAAATAGGACCTGCCCGACAAAGTGAAGTAGACCAAAAGATCCTCAAAAGCTAGACATCACGCCGAGATCCAAAGAAATTCAGAAACAAATGAGAAAGAAAGTAAATGAGATCTATCAGTCTGGAAAAGGTTATAAAGCCATTTCTAAAGCTTTGGGACTCCAGCGAACCACAGTGAGAGCCATTATTCACAAATGGCAAAAACATGGAAAAGTGGAGAACCTTCCCAGGAGTGGCCGGCCGACCAAAATTACCCCAAGAGCACAGCGACGACTCATCCAAGAGGTCACAAAAGACCCCACAACAACATCCAAAAACTGCAGGCCTCACTTGCCTCAGTTAAGGTCAGTGTTCATGACTCCACCATAAGAAAGAGACTGGGCAAAAATGGTCTGCATGGCAGAGTTCCAAGACGAAAACCGCTGCTGAGCAAAAAGAACAAAGGCTCGTCTCAGTTTTGCCAGAAAACATCTTGATGATCCCCAAGACTTTTGGGAAAATACTCTGTGGACTGACGAGACAAAAGTTGAACTTTTTGGAAGGTGTGTGTCCCATTACGTCTGGCGTAAAAGTAACACTGCATTTCAGAAAAAGAACATCATACCAACAGTAAAATATGGTGGTGGTAGTGTGATGGTCTGGGGCTGTTTTGCTGCTTCAGGACCTGGAAGACTTGCTGTGATAAATGGAACCATGAATTCTGCTGTTTACCAAAAAATCCTGAAGGAGAATGTCCGGCCATCTGTTCGTGACCTCAAGCTGAAGCGAACTTGGGTTCTGCAGCAGGACAATGATCCAAAACACACCAGCAAGTCCACCTCTGAATGGCTGAAGAAAAACAAAATGAAGACTTTGGAGTGGCCTAGTCAAAGTCCTGACCTGAATCCTATTGAGATGCTGTGGCATGACCTTAAAAAGGCGGTTCATGCTCAAAAACCCTCCAATGTGGCTGAATTACAACAATTCTGCATAGATGAGTAGACCAAAATTCCTCCACAGCGCTGTAACAGACTCATTGCAAGTTATCGCAAACGCTTGATTGCAGTTGTTGCTGCTAAGGGTGGCCCAACCAGTTATTAGGTTTAGGGGGCAAACACTTTTTCACACAGGGCCATGTAGTTTTGGATTTTGTTTTCCCTTAATAATAAAAACCTTCATTTAAAAACTGCATGTTGTGTTCACTTGTGTTATCTTTTACTAATATTTAAATTTGTTTGATGATCTGAAACATTAAAGTGTGACAAACATGCAAAAAAAATAAGAAATCAGGAAGGGGGCCAACACTTTTTCACACCACTGTACTTAAGTATATCTTTAATTGGACTTCAGCACTACTTACGCATAATTAAAGTTCATTCAATACAAAATTAGTTGTTCCAATTTAGCAGACTTAAGGTATACCAGTTTAGTATACCAACAGTACAATTTCAGGGCATTTTTTTATTAAGTACATAGATATTTAAATGTATTTGTAGTATACTTAGCATGAAATAAATGTATTTCAAATACATTTTAGTATATTTATTTTTCACTAGGGTTCCGATCTGGCTTCATCCAATCAACAACCAATGGATAGAAACAAGTCCTCATCCCTACAGTTTTTTTCATCCTTTTTGATAATACATTTTATTCAGATGTGCATCACAGTTTGGAACAAATAATGATGCTTGCGGTGCAATATTTGACCGGAAGGGTAAAAATTACATGTATTTTCCTCAGTTACAGCTAGTTAGAGCTAGCCTGCTTCCAATCAGACACAGAGATGAAGTAGTGCAGTAAGATCACATTTGTTTGAATGAATTATAGCATTTATTTCAATTAATTATTGATCGATTGAGAGATAGAGAGAGAGAGAGAGAGAGAGAAAGAGATGAAAAGTTGGTTTGTAATTCCCTGCATCTGCATGTAACTACCTGCATCTCTCTCTACAAACAATGAAGCTGTAAGTTTAGTTACTTCAAAAACAGTGATTTTACCTCCTTGTTGCTGAGAAATATAATGTTGCAATTCAGCAGTGTTGACAACAAGTTTCTGTGGATGTTTTTGTGTGTGCACAGCACAATCTGCAATATCTGTGTGCAGGTGATGTGTGTGCATCAATTAAAACAGCGCATTAACATAGAATAGTGATTAAACTGACTTGGATCTACCTGTGCATTAAACAGTTTTAACAGCAATTAAAAAATCAGTTCAAATCGGCAATAATGAAATCACATCTGGATTGGATTGATATATTAATAAAAAAAAAAACTAACTGGGGGGGTTATACATACATACCAATACATACCCTTTTGATTCTGCCGTATTGTTTTCTTATACTATATGAGATGCAACCCTATACAGGTTTGTGATTTTTTTTCAGACTATCTTTTGTTGTTTAAGTCCTGTTTAAAGAATGCAGATAGGCTGTGGCTTTCTGAAATATTTGTAAATGTCAGAAAGAGGCCTGTGGGAATAAACGAAAAGAGAACATGGGCAGACATAAGTATCACACGACCTGTCTGCTGTGGTCAGTCCTCTTCCAATAATCCAGAGGTCAGTGTTCCTTCCTTCTCAGGCCGACCCACATTTACACACTTCAGTGAAACTCCCAGTGCAAACAGCCAACTCTCAAACAAATATTCTCCTATACACTTCAGACCCTTGAGAGAGACAAAAGGAGGGGTAAAGAGGAAAAAAGTGACATTTTGATGGCTGCCCAATCCCGTTGAAGCTGAAGATGTTATTCTTTGGCTTCAATTTGAGAGGAACGGAACCTTTCCCCTCTCCTGTCATCCGGCGCTTCTGTGTTTCTTCCTTCCCTCCGCACTCATCTCTTCCTCATTTCCGTCTTGTCATCCAGAGTCTCATCAAATGTCAGAGGACAGCATGCTGTCCCAGAGTGCTGGCTCCATCTGCATCTTGAAATACATATTTGTGGTGAGACTGATCTCCCTCAGGTCCTGTGGAAGGGGTCAGCACATTTATACAGAACCCTGATGAGACCACCTAGTGAGAATGTGACGGCAAATGTCCCAGGAGATGCCACTCTCTCTCTCTCCTTTTCTCGTATTTTAAACTGCTCTTGTCAGTTAAACAAAGCTCTTCAGAAAGCCCTTCACAAACTTGCATGTACAATGTAAGAACAGGCTGCTATTATTTGACTTCAAGGTATAGTTCACCCAAAAATGACAATCCTGTCATAAATAATGGAACAAAAAAGAAGATGTTTTGGAGAATGTTTGAGCTGTTTTTGTCTAAATAATGCCAATTTCAATGGGGTTCAAAAGTTTCAAGTCTCAAAAAGAACATACAGGTGATTTATCCAAACATAAGTGCATACATCTGATTGTATATATAATATTTAAGACTTTGTTTACTTTCACATCAAATCAAAACACTGATCAACATTTACATACACAGGCTACATTAAATATGCTAATATGAACATTAAAAGTCAAACCTCATTGGTTCAAACATCATGGTTCATGCATTAAATTCATTTATCTTAATGCCCTGTTTGCATTGTTTTATTGTTAACTAAAATGATTTAAATGAAGTGAAATAAATGTGAAATAAAATATTGATATTAGATTGAAAAGATTACACTTGCATGAAAGTTTGAAATGTTGCCTTGGCAGCTAATTGGAGTTTATGTTGAAGTAGCCTACTAAAATTACTAAAACTGAAAATGATAGAAAAATAAATAAAGCTAAATAGAATGATAAAAAACAAAAACAAAAGCACAAAATTACTAAAACATAAAATCTAAAAATAAAAGCTAATTCAAAATATTAATAAATACTATAATAGTATATACATAATATTAAAATAAAACCTTTTTAGTGACTTGAATCATCTTGGATCCCCATTAACGTTGAAACACACTTTAAAATATCTTCTTTTGTGTTTCACAGAACAAAAAAAGTCATATAGGTTTGGAATGACATGAGGGTGAGTATGATGGCAGAATTTTCATTTCAGGGTGAAATGAAATGAGAGAATGAGAGAATATTTCCAACTAGTCAGTTTGTTTTTCCATATTCTATTTTTATTACATATCAGTGTTCATGATGATGATCGTTTGATCCATACTTTAGTAAGGTTGTGAAGTTCATTGAGGATGCTTTTCGTCCTGCTGCGCCCCATCACTGCTAGGATTGTAAATAGCTGTGTTAGCTGGAATGGATGAATGCCTGGACAGGGCGGCGAGGGCACACCATACTTTTGTTTGTCTGTCAAGCCCCTCTCCCTCACTTCATACTCCAGTTCTTTCTCTCAAAAGCTCCCCAACCCTGATACCTGCTCACCCCTTTCAGTTTTTCATTGTCATTTTACACCCCTTTTGCCTGTTTCTCTTCAGGCGGTGTGTCGCAGCTGCCTCTACAGAGCTCTCAACTTAATTAACACTACAATTCACAAAATCTCCTTTCTTTTCTGTTCATTCTTCTTAAGCATAACTGGAGACCTACACACTGTTACTGGTTGAAAAGAACGGTTGTGTGTTCATCCTCTCTGGTCAAATTGTACTGGTTTTAGTTTGCAAAGCTTTTTTAGCTGGCAGACTACACCAGAGTGGCTGGGACGTGTCCAGTGCACAGCTTCTGAATGCGCAGAGGCAGAGACTGTCTGTCCAGACTGTGCGACTGGTGCTGAAACAGCAGCATACATTATCCCGTAGCACCCCGGCACACTCGTGTCCAACCCACATGCACACCAGTCGCACATTAGTCTGTCTGCAGCAGAGGGACTATTCACAGCCATGATCCTGAAAATTGGGGCCTGGTTTTGGAAGAATAAAGTGAGTGGATCTGTGCACGCTTCTGGTAACAAACCCAGTTGTTTGTGATCTGTCTGAATCTGACTGTCTGACATCCAACGTTTTGGTCTTGTGTGCAAAAGGCTTAAATCTGTTGTTTATGTGTGATTAATCTTGAGTACTTTTTTGAACAGGTGAGAGTGCCGTGGCAGGTGCATGTGCACTCTTCTTTGTATTCTGGGTGTAAATGTTCCATGCATTTCTCAAGGTCTTGAGTGGTTTATCCGTAATGGGCCAGCATGCGTGACTGCATGTGCCCCTGTGCAAGCTAGTAAATCCCTGCTTGTTGATGTGTAAGAGATGCTCGTGCAGGGATTTAGTGCCTCTCTGGCTGTGGGAAAGCGGCGTGTTTATTTATAACGCTGAGGCCTTCACTTGCTACTACAGGACCCCGGCCGTCCCAGAAGTCTACTGGTAGTATAGCGAGAATTCATCAGCGCAGAGAGAGGCTTTTCTTTTGTGACCAAACTAGGCATGTTAAACGATGAACGTTTCTGCCTAAATAAATAGGTTTGAGTTACTGCGTCTGCATTCCCTCAATGTTTTACTTCAGTAGTTCAGAACTGTTGAAAAAGCTAATTAAAAAAACAACAACTGATGGCTATTTACTAACAATGTCATGATGAAATGTTACAGATTAAATACAACTTTTTGACATGCTGTCAATTTCTAGAAAAATTATTTCAGCTCATTTCTGAGGTTGGGACAATCTGTGGGGCAATGCATTGCACTAGTGATTGTTTAGTTGTTGTTAGTATAGCCACAATACATGTCGACTAGTGTGATATAATTCCAGTAATACTAGACTGACTCACTGACATATTGTAGCACAAACTTGTCTATAAAACATATGTTTTTGGTCTGCCCAATGTCATGTGACAACAATTTTTAATCAAGGCAAACTTTGAAGGACTTTTGTAAGATCATGGACCAAGAAAAACGTTTAGAGTTTTATTATAAGTACATTTAAAGGATCTTTTAAAGAGTTGTATATACAAAATTGTTTACTCTTTTTAATTCTAAGTTGAATTTTATAAAATATTATTATATTGTTGAATGTTGAATAGCCTGTGAAGCTGATATGGCAATACATTTAAATACAACCAACCAACTGCCAATAAATATATATATTTACATTTATATGTATATGTTATAATTGTTAGAAATGCTATAACCATACAAGCTTCACATTTCTGCTTTTAAACCCTCTTACTTTGTAAGTGCAATGCATTAATAAACACGATTTGTGTTTGTTTTTATAAACTGTAGTAAAGGAGCTATTATCTGTAATAGACAGCATTCTTAAGTTTTGGTCACATTAGCTAAATTTTGCCCAAATTTCATAGGCAAAAGAAGTCCTTTGTCTATAGAAAATAATGTAGCGATGTATGAAGCACACCTCTTCACTTTCAAGCAAAGCAGATTTCTATTGGTCACAGCAGAAAATTTGTGTGGCTAACTTGAACTTACTGTGACATCCGGTTGTGCTGTAGGAGGAGGAGACGACTCCACTGGGACTGTCCACGGCTCAGGCTCTGTGCACCCTACGGGACCAGCTGTCCAACTTATTGGGGCAACACCAGAAATCCAGCCACCGTAGATCCACCATACAGGTCTGTTCTAGATTGCATGTTATCAACACAGTTATGGTATATTACTTTTGTCCTGATTTTATTTTTCCTATGTTTTACAGGAGCAATGGGCTAAGAGCTTCCTTCACCATGACAACCGGCATTCATGCTTCCATTGGCCAGGAGCTATTCTCACTCTGATTGTGGTGGTTGGGCTGTTGTGTTGTCATGGCAGCCAGCCGGCGGGCAGGTGGGCATGGCTTAGTGCAAAAAACATCACATAGTCGAGTTTAGCTATCAGATATTTTTTATGTAAGTCTCTTTCCTTTGTTGTCTTAGTCAAGGCATAGAGTTAGTGAACGCGGGCGCACTTTTCCTCCTGCTGCTGCTGAACCTCTTTCTCATTGGGCGGCAGCAGAGGTTACGGATGAGTGAGATGGTGCGGAGGCTCAAGTCCATTATCTCACAGCTGAACGGTGAGAGAGCAGCGAGTGAATAAACGTCTAAAGGAATCAGTCATGCTTCAAGAAATAATAATGATGGTTATGCTGTGGCTTATCAATTCATTTGCATTATATTTCCATGCAATGCTAAATACAATTTGATATAACTGGAATTATGATATAGTTCACCGAAAAATGAAAATTCTGTCATTATTCACTCTCATGTCATTCCATGTTGCTAGACTTGTTGTTCCAAGTCTAAAAAGTAAATGTTCACTTGTTAACTCTCTCGTTTTTTCTCATTGTTTGCCAGATTATTTGGAGAGAAGTGCAGGACATCCAATCAGATGGGCCCCCTCTCTGTGTCCTGACCTCTACACCCCGACTTCCCCTTCCTGGTCACTGCATTGGACATTTAGAGATGAGCAGCTGGTCAATCTACCTGTCAGTCTCCTGGTGGAAGGTGATGTCATCGCTCTTAGACCGGGCCAGGAAGCCTTTGCATCTCTCAGAGGCATCAAGGTAATGTCAGATTTAAGTTTCTTTTTGTTCATTTATTGTGTCGGATAGAGATATTTTACAATATACATAACAATTACCATGTTAACATTATTATTTTAGTATTATCTGTAGAAAATTACAGCATTTGTTAATGTTTAAAACATTTATTTGTATATTTTCAGTTAAGTTTTTATTTTATTTGTTCTTTTGTCATTTTTATTATTTTTTTTATATCTTGCTTTATTTATTTTTTAGTTTTAGTAATTTAATACTTCTGCTTATTTCAGTTAGTTGCCAACATTTTTAATTCTATTAAGTTTTTAAGTTTAAGTTTTACATCTAATACTTATATTTTGTTTAATTTCAGCTTTACTTCAATTAATGAAGACAATGTTTAATAGTTTAAATTTTAATTAACAATAACAACACTGCATGGTAACCATAGTTTCTGCCAAAGTAACATAGTAACTACATGTATGGTTACTACTTTAGTGGTGTGACCCAAACACAGCCAATCAGGAAGGATTTGATATTCAATGTACAATTCTATTTGAGGAATGGGATTTTGGACCAATTAGCTTTCAGTGGGTGGTGCTACGTAGCGTGATGCCTTAGAAATAAAAACAAAGCATTTAACACAATGTCCTCTCACTCATCGTGGCTGATTAGGAAATGGTGTTACACTTTTTAATAGAGATCCTCTGTCAAGCTATTTTGATTTTCCTGAAGTAGCAACTCTCTGAACTACATACTGGTATTTTGTGCTAGAATCTGAAACCGTACAAAAGAAAACCTTGGAGAACACATGCTGTTTATTAATGAGTGTTTCTCTCGCTCTGTTCTTCTCAATTGCTGTATGTTCTGTTACCAGGACGACGAACACATCGTGCTGGAGCCAGGAGACCTTTTTCCGCCATTCTCTCCTCCTCCTTCCCCACGCGGGAATGAGCGGAGGGGCCCCCACAGTCCTCAGCAGTACCGCCTCTTCAGGGTGGTGCGCACACCTATACTCGACAGTGTCAGGTTCATACCTCCGAGCCAAACAAACTATGAAAGCTGAAATATTTTTGGTTTGATTAATTTAAGGAAATGATAACTAAATTTTTTTTCATGCCATTTTATCTTGTGTGATATGTGAACATTTTTGTGTTCTCACAACAGCTATTAGTAACTAAGCACCTTTTTCTGGCCAATAGGAACAGTCTTGATATGGCTCTCTCCCGTCCAATCACAGCCCTTGATAATGAACGTTTCACAGTGCAGTCCATCATTGCCAAATTCGCCTGTCCAGCTGTATTGGTATGACAAAACTGAACCCATGCACACTTTAAGATTTCAAAATGGTTTGATTCACACATATTGTGCCTGCAAGCAACATCTTTTTTGACACTCACGTTAACAATTTGCTGTATTCGTACTGCATAGTATGTATGTAGATTTTTATTATTGAGCCTGCTGAACTCAGCAGAAAATAAGGTGATTATTTTTTGAAAACCTGTTTATCAACACAATCTTTGGCAATATTAGCTTTTATGAAGCAACTTAAAATGATGTAGTGTCAGTGTGAAAGCTGTCATGACGCTCACATGCCCCAGATGCAAGATGTGTGATAACGCATGAAAATGTGTGTCCATTTACTGATGATGATCTTTGGTCAAATTTTCATTTATAGGTGGCCTTTTTCTCTGTTAACACGATCTGGTACTTTTGTGACACTCCCGGTCTCACCACTGGACCCTTCAACTTCCTTCAGTTGCAGGTTGATAGTAGTTAATCACAAGTCAAATCTTTCTTTCAGTTTTTTTATTCAGAACTGCTTTCACACTCTGAGAATAGTAAATATTAGGTTAAAGTCATCATAGCATTCTCTTTTTCATTTAATAGTTCTTTTATTGCACCTTCATTTAGGTTATTAACCATTAGAGTGATTAGGCAAGTTTCAAATGACATTATTGCACCCTTGCAAGGCATTGCAGGAAGGGAATGATACTCATATAATCGTTCCAAATAAAAGCAAGCAGCTACATTTCTTATATGGGGAACTTTCCTCAAGATTGTTAGTGAAATCTACAATGGTCACTTTAATGAAGCAGTTTTTGCTGTTATGAATATGAGATTCTGGGTAGTGTGTCCTCGCAATATGCTATGAAACCTGAGATTATTTACGTTTTTTTTAAAAGCCATCACTGTAACACAGTGGTTCTCAACCAGGGGAGCTCAGCAAAATTCCAAGGGGGTGTCAAGGTGACTTAAAATTATTTGAAATAAGCCAAAATAAGCATTAAAATGAGCCAAAACAACTAAAAATCAAGTTATTTCTTATGTTAATTCACTGTCTTCACTTCTCCCATATCAGGTGTGATTTAAAATATGAGATGATTAATACATCTGGAAAAGAGATGAAAAGAATGGACATTTTTTATAATATACAGATTTCTAGTTATGACAAACTCTTTCAAAAATTTTATTAAAAATACTTGTTAATCCTTATCCAGTAAATCACGAAAAACTGAAGTCATGGAATAAAAAAGGTTGCGAGCCACTGTTATAATGCTTTAAATGACTACTATTGGAAAATATTATTTAAATATTTACATGTTTTTTTCTTTGTTTTTATCAAAGCCTGCACAGAGATACCAAATCAATTTGAATTAGAGACACAAAGAGGCGCAAACGTTTTATTGGCCACAACAATGTTGGTATTGATGTTTCTCTTTCCCTCTTTTTCTCCTTCTCTTGCTGTCTTTGATGAATAGATGATGGGTGTATTGCCGATTTTACCTCTTCTGTTTCCTGTGATGTGGATTCTGGTCAATGCGTACGGAGAGGCCCGCTTGTTAGCCGAGTCCAGCTGTAACTCTCCCACTGGCCTGGTAAGACAAACAGAACACAGCACATTCATTTACTTGTTCATGCTAATTCATGAATTGTTCGTTAACAATTCACACTCACACATATGCAGACGCAAAACGTGCACAACTCGCAGAACTTCCCAAATCCCACACCAACGGATATTGCTGCAAAATTGTAACTCGCTCTGTCTGTGATTACTGTGTGTATTAACTTTTATTTGCAGCCTTAACACTGCATGAGGAAGTAAAGCTTATTGGCCCAGCTCACACTAGTAGTAGAGTGGCTTAGGGAGGGATTGCAGAGCCGAGGTGAAGCGATAAGGCTAGAGTTGAAACGGAGGGCTGACCGTCTGATTAGGTGTTTAATCAGACTTTTCTCTCATCCCAGCTTGCTAAGTTCTCTGAGGACACTCTAAGCAGCTACACGGAAGTGGTGTCCTCCCAGGTATATCCTCTGTATTCCTCCTCCTCCTCTCCCACCCGTTCACCACACGCTTCTTGTGATCCTTCTCCCTTGCTCTGGGCCCTTCCACAACCATCATCTTTTTCTTCATCTTTTTGTTCTGATAATTACTCATGTCAACTTCTTTATCAGAGGATCACAATGAAAAGAGCCTGTTTTTTTTTTCTTTTAAAAAACAGTCACTTCATCTCACGTGTTCGATCAAGTTTGCAAAATCAGCCAATATACCCCTGGTCTTTTTTTTAAATTAATTTACACCTTTTTCGCTTCTTGTGCTGCCGGTTAGTTTGGCACCCCACACGCTGACCTGTGACCCCTCGGCCTTTGCCTGCCCACCTTCTGTCTGCCTGAGATTTGCATGATAGAGTATACACTCTTTCTATAGTGGTGATGCGTGTCTAAACTACATTTATCTGAGTTCATGTACATTTTGAGAACTTCTGCATGATCAAGACTCTGTTTTTTCCCTTTAAAATTTCCAAAGTGTGGTAAGTATTTGTCTGCATGGACAGATCAGATACATGAACAGGCTGGAAGTGTTTTGCCGTTTAATGTTTTATTTTTAAAGACTTTGGAAAACAAAAAAAGAAAGGTTTTAAGACGATCTTCATAAACTTCCTCAGTGGTTTATTTAACAGTTGTGCACAGTTAAAGTCTGAGTGTGTGTGTGTATTTTTGATGATGTGTCTTTAAAGACCCAGTGAAATCAAAATTGGACTTTTGTGGTTTTTGTCGAGTTTCCATGTCTGTTAGATTCAAGGCCGCCTATATCCTAGTATAGTCCTAACAGTTGACTTTTTTTTTTTTTTTTTGCAGATATATTTACAGAGATAATTTATAAATGCACTAAGGTTAAAAAGTTTGGGATCAGTGACTTTTTTTTAATGTTTTTGAAAAAAGTGCTTACAAAATGTATAAAAACAGTAAAATTGTGAAATATTATGATTTTAAAGTAACTGTTTTTTATTTTATGTTTTAAATTGTAATTTATTCATTTGATGGCAAAGCTGAATTTTCAGCAGTCTTCAGTGTCACATGATCCTTCAGAAATCATTCTGATATGCTGAAAGTCAATTGATAGGCGGAATAAGTCATTATGCTTTTAATGGCAACCAGTTTTTCTTTACATGTACTGATAAATAATTCACAATGGGAACAGGAACATGTATTAAGAAAGTAAATTAGTTCAGTTTTGATTTCATCTTGACTTTAAAGGTGGATACTTGGACATCTGATGTGCGTCAGATAGATTCACCTGCAGCTAACAGCTTTCAGTTCTTCAGTTCAGTGCTGCTCTCCTGTAGCTGCTGCATCAAGCTTTCATTTGTTTGCTTCAGTTTCAAATTCTGTCATTCTGTCAATTTAAATTTTTCTCTCCCTTTTCCTGCTGCAAGGTGCATTTATCTTTATGAAACAATCCTTAAAAAATCTCTGAATGCACCAGGACAAACCCAAGACTGGACATGCTACTGCTGCTTTCTTCCTGCCTAACTCTACCAGGCTTTGTCTTACAGAGCTTCTCTTTGTGTGTGTGTGTGTGTGTTTTGTCTGAGGATGACATCCAGAACCAGGTTTCATAAATCCTGACACTTTTGCAGGGCCATTCGCAACCCAGAGGTGCTGATGCATGGATTTGAGTTTCAGTCAGGAGAGACGATGACACTCACTCCATATTTGTGTGTTTGTGTGTGTGTGTGTACGTGCTTGTGTATAGGAGATTCTACGCTGTGTGTGGAGACACCTGGTCAGTGTGTTGAAGGGAGAGTCCCAGACCCTCTGTTATACCTCCAGTCTGCTACACTCGTTGGGTTCGGTCACTGTAAGTGCTCCTCCTGCTGTCATACTGGAAATGTTACACTTCCTGCTTGCAATTTGAAAAATGGCTTAAAGGCAGAGTAAGCGATTTCTGGTAGCCAATGTTGATATTTGAAATCACCAAAACAGTTTGTTTTGCTATTCGGGCCGAATCAGTTTTCTAAAGTGTTTTTGAAAAATCACATACCCTGCCTTTAATGTTGACTTTAAAAATGAATAAAAATTAAAGGACTGTTCTGGGTTATTTTCAACCTAATTATCAATTACAGCAGGGCTGTAACTGATATAGACATTCAGGAGACATTCTGCTCAAATATTTAAATTAGTGCTCCATTAATATGTCTCTTTAATAGCAGAACCATTCTAAGAACTTGATCCTGTCCCCGTTCTTAAACGTTTGTTTACATCCTTGAGATTCTGTATCATGCTGGTAATGACCACAAACAATAATTACAACACATCCCTCAGTATGTATAAACAAATTTCAAGAGGTGTTTACAGTAATTAAATACTCTTTATAATGCAAGACTGGAGGGCGTGAATGCAACACCGCAAATCGGTTTACTGTCCAACACATTTTATCATTCTTATGCTTGATGGGGAGTGTAGTTGTATTAGCTTTGTAGCTGTTCTTCATCAACAGTACACAATTTGAATTAATTTTTTATTAAAACTTAATTATGATCAACACCACGAGTGGCATTTACAATATTGTTGTAGCAATCATGTGCAGTAATCTATTAAATGCATTTACATTATTTGGTGAAAACAATAGACATTTGCTTGAAAATGATTCCATTAGTATTACTTTAAATTCCAAGAATCATAAGCTTTATTAACTGATGAAGTTTCTTGTTTTATCATATTTCCTGACCCGCTCATAGGTGCTGTGCTGTGTGGATAAGCAAGGCATTCTGTCCTGGCCCAACCCTAGTCCCGAGACTGTGTTGTTCTTCAGCGGACGAGTAGAACCTCCTCATGACAGCCAGGAAGACCTCAGAGATGAGCTGTTAGTCAACTCCCTCTGCAGGACAGAGGGCGAGGAGGAACGTGACGAGGTACTGCCGATAGCTAGACTGGAGTATCATACAATTTCTTTTAATTATGATGATTTGAATAAGGTTTCTGCAAAAATGCAGCATATAATTGTACCTGATAGGGCTGGACTTGAATAAGTTGTTATTTTAGCCTGTGTTTTGTCTCACTTCAGTCTGTGTGTGTTTTTCTGTGTTTAGCCTCAGGAAGGCGAAGCACTGCTGTGTTTACCAGTGTTTGAACCCTCCCTTCACATGGCTGAGCAGGAACCCAGCGAGACATCACATGACACCGCCCGCTCCTCAGACACCCAGCGGCAGCATCAAGGACCCCAAACCACCCGTTCCAAACACCCTTCAGGATCCAATGTCAGTTTCAGCCATGACACTGAGGTTGGTGAAGATGACATTGCTCAGGTAGGACTACATCTTTATGTTGCTGCTTGAGCTGGTTCAGGTTCTAACTATGCAGTTTGGTTTATGTATTTGTATGTGTCTCTATTTCCAGCCATGCGGTATGGGTGATGATCTGTGTGAAGCAGAAGATTTCGTGTGCGACTATCATCTGGAGATGTTGAGCCTGTCCCAGGATCAGCAGAACCCTGTCAGCATCCAGTTTGATGATTCCGGTTGGCAGAATCACCTGCCCTCTTTGAAGCCTCTTGGCTTGAACATCCTGTTGAACCTGTGCAATACCACCGTCACCCAGCAGCTCTGCAGATTCTCAGACCACTTGTCAAACCTGGCGCTGCAGGAATGCCATGGGGCGGTTCTACCCGTTCATGTTCCCTGGGGCCTCTGTGAACTATCTCGCCTTATAGGTAAATGACAGAAGCATGTTAATAAACATATATCTTTTCAGGGTTTATAGTATTGCACAATAATCTTTCATTAATTTTGGACTCCTGTAGCTTCTATGGGCTTCCCATCACAAGAATACAGGGCTATACAAACAGAAAGGACTTTTTTAAATCATTATTCAACACATTCAATCTGTATTAGTATTGTCAACAGAAATTTAAAAAACGAATAATTTAATGTATTCTTTAGCAAAACATAACTATATATTTTTTCATACTGTGTATTATTTTGTGAGGCCTATATTAATTTGTAGCAATTAAAATGACAATGTTTTCGTTTTTATTGTTTTATTTAAAACATTTTAAAAATATAAGAAAATACAAAACAGTGTGCGCATCCAAAAACCCAAATTGGGCCCAGGTGCAGGATAAAAAAGAATAATAATAAATAAATAAATAAGTACCGCTCCTATATATATATATTTATTCATAAACAATGCAACGTTTCAGTCGATTAATTTGGTGCCTGACGAAGATCTAATCGGTCGAAATGTTGCGTTGTTTATAAATAAATATATATATATAGGAGCGGTTTTGCTAGTGTGCAGACATTCCTTCCATTTCTTCCAATTCCATTTCTTTCTTTATTTTTCATTTTTGTCAACAAAAATAATGTTGAATTTTCGTTTCAGGCATTTAACAGTTATCTGTATCAGGCAGAATATTAATATTGGTGCAAGCCTCAACCCATAATGATAATTGAAAAAAATCTCTAATATTGGCCAGTATGGATGCGCAATATATATTGGATATTGTGCATCCCTAATCATTTATGAACTTCTACTCTGGCAGTACTTCTAGTGACGTTAAACTCGTTTTACTGTCTTCACATCCTTTCTTAAGATTACTGGGTTATTATTTCCTGTTCTGTTGTATGTCAGGTTTTACTCCGGGAGCGAGGGAACTGTTTAAGCATGAGAATCATCTGTCTCTGTACCAGCTTCCTTCCGGAGAGAAGGCCAAAGAATCTGTCCCCCGGCGACTCCATCACTTCACCAAACGCCAGCCTCCCATCAGTCACCTCATCAGTCTGTTCGTCAGGGACAGCACTACCAGTACGGCCCATTTTTTTCTATCTCACTTCCTGTTTGTCCTTGGTGGTTTTGTTTAGTCATTGACCTTTGCCCTTTGAACTCCGTTCAGATAATGTACAGATGCTGTCCCACGGCTCGGCCGACCTCATCCTAGAAGCCTGCACAGATTTCTGGGATGGGGCGGACATCTATCCGCTGTCTGGCTCGGATAGGTCAGAGACACTAATTAAAAAAACTGACACTAGTCATTTAGTTTTCTTAATATGCAGAGTGGAATTTGTTTGTGTACTAAAGTACTGGTATTATGCCCCATAGGAAAAAGGTTTTAGATTTCTACCAACGTGCCTGTCTGTCAGGATATTGTTCTGCATTCGCCTATAAGCCTATGCAGGTGGCATTGTCTGGACAGCTAAATGGAAAGTGTGTGGAGCTGGCTCCAGGCCCCACGCTCTTTTCTGGGGTGGAGCTTCCCAGTACCACCCCCATCAAACATGGCAGCCGCAGGAACAGCTGGAGTTCTGATGGTAAGAGACATTGCCTGATCAGCTCCTAATCTGGACAGTAGAGCTAAAAATATATATCTTGATATGTTTGTCTGACGATCAGCTGATCCCATAGATACATAAAGAGATGTTTATGTAGCTCGATAGATACATAGATGGATAGCTACATAAATGTATAGATGGATAGACAGATAGCTGGATAAATAGCTAGATGGATGTATAGATACATCAAGGGATAGACAGATACGTAGCTGGATAGATAGCTGAATGGATGGATGAATAGAAACATAGATGGATAGACAGATGGTTAGATGGACACTTGGATGGATTAATGGATAAAGGATACGTAGATGATAGTCAGATAGATAAATACCTGAATAGATAAGATGGATTGATGGATAGATACATGGATGGATGGATGGATAGCTATGTAGTACGTAGCTGGATAGGTGGATAGACAGCTAGATATGTAGCTGGATAGATACATAGCTCAGTGGATAGATGCATAGATGGATACATGGATGGATGGATTTTTCGATTTGTAGATACGAGGATGAATAGATATGCATCTAGATAGACAGAGAGATGGATGGATGGATGGATAGATTACTAGATTGATCCATTTTTTGATTTGTAGTAGATGGTTTCAACTGATTCACTGAAATGAATCAAACTTACCAACTCTAATATGTTTGTGTACTGTATATGTTTCAGAGGGTATTGGAGAAGGTTTGGAGAAGGAGGACTGTGTGCAGGCTCTGAGTGGCCAGATCTTCATGGGAATGGTGTCGTCCCAGTTCCAGGCCCGACTGGACACTGTACGGCTCATTGAGAACCTGGTGGGAGCCTGTATCCGCTTTGTGTACTTCTCCATGGAGGACGAGCTGCGCAGCAAAGTATTACACTGATGAGAAAACACACTCAGTAAAAACACGGTGCATTTGCTGTGTCATATTTTGTCACCTCTTAATGCTGGCTTTGCTTGTAGGTGTTTGCAGAGAAGATGGGTTTGGAGACGGGCTGGAACTGTCACATCTCTCTGACCCCAAACGGAGATGGTCACTACGATGGTGCTCCGTCCAGCCCTAGCCAAGCAGGATCTCTACATGATGACCTTCTGCATGGTAAGTGTGTCTTTCTGCCTGCCAGTACACACAGTTGACATACACTACATTTTTCCCTCATTTGGAATTTATTTAAATGATACAACCTCTCTGTGTTCTTAGATTCTCGTGATGACGCAGAGGGCCCACTACTGCCTGAGGACCAATCAGATCTCGCCAGCTTCCAGCCTACTGACAGTGATGTGCCCAGTTTCTTAGAAGACTGCAACAGAGTAAGCAGTCTACTCCAATGGCACTTAAATGCCACTTTAGAAGCGCCTCCGTGCCACCTTTGCAGTGTGAGTTTGGTAGTTTGAAATATGTTTTGCAGTTGCTGAAATACTGATTGATGCTTTTTCCTCTCTGTTGTTCTATAGGCCAAACTGCCTCGTGGCATTCATCAGGTTCGTCCTCATTTGAAGAACATAGACAATGTGCCTCTACTGGTGCCCCTGTTCACAGACTGCACCCCTGAAAGTGAGTCAGCCTCAACACCAGCTTTAATGTTAGCATTAAGCAAAAGCTGTGATCATCTTTTCTTCTGTTATGACGTACAGTATATCCGAATGAAAAAAATGTAGGGTGGGACTTGATTTTTGTCAGTTTGTCAGTTTTGATCTCATGGTGACTTTAAAGACCCCTTAAAGTTTTGTAGCTTTTAGTCCATGTGTTTTATATGCTAGTGTACTTGAGTTGAACCCTCTAAATGTTTGTTTCACAGCAATGTGTGAAATGATGAAGATCATGCAGGAGAACAGAGAGGTAACATGCTGTTTGGGGAGCTCCGCAAACTTCCGTAACAGCTGCCTTTTTCTGCAGAGTGACATCAGGTGGGTAACACACACGCCACTCTACTCTGCTGTACACCAGAATCAAATGTGCCCTATAATCTTATGCAAAGCTGCAATCTAAAGGATGGCAATTTTCAAGAAACTAAAAAGCTGCCTTTGAGCTTTTGTTCATTGCATAATTCTAAATATGTGAGATAATAAAATATAGTGTACATCAAAGAAGTTAAGTTTCTTTTAGAGTACTCTGTGGCTCATTTGAATTTAAAGTGATTGTGGGGATTTGGAAACCCTCTCTCTGTGTGTTTTAGTATCTCCCTGGATCCTCTATACCCGTCCCGGTGCTCATGGGAGACATTTGGGTATGCTGCGGGCTGCGGGCTGAATGGTGACTGTGATGAGCTGTCTCCACTGGGGCTCAGTGCTAGTCTCAACAGCCTCGCCTGCTCCATGTCCTTCCATCAGGGCGAGAGTGTCAGCATGGTCAAACTCATAGAGCAGGTATACATACATACACGCTCTCTGGCATGCTGTAGGGTTGATGAGGCTGTTAATCACATGGGAGCAAGAAGATACAAGCTCATGCAGTGAATTTACTACAGTTTAAAAGTTGGGGGTCTGTACAGTTTTTGAAAGAAGTCTCTAATTATCAAGTCTGCATTTATTTGAACAAAAATGTATTTGTTCCTGTGATGGTAAAGTTATTACTCCAGTCTTTAATGTCTAAAGTGTCTGCTTAATATTTCTGTGTAAACCATGATACATTTTTTTTCCAATATTTTTTTTGATGAATAAAAAGCCAAAGAACAGTATTTATTTGAAATAGAACTCTTTTGTAACAGTATACATGTCTGTACTTTCATTTTTGAGCAATTTAATGCATTATTGCTGAATAAAAGTATTCATTTCTTTAAAAAAAAAAAAACTCAAAATCTTACTGACCCCAGATCTTGAACGGTAGTGTACATATGCTTACAACCGAAAAGAAAAATATGGGGGGTATTTTTGCTGGTTATTATATGTAGACAGATATAGTAAAAGTCATGCTGGTTCGAGTCTTGCTTGCAACCAGTCCCAATCCCATTCTCTCATCATAATTGTCAATTTTTACTATATCTAATAAAACAATCTTTTAAAAAAAAAATGTTGAATCTGAATGTTGTCTGTTGATGTATCTTCAGGCGAGACACACCACCTATGGCATTCGCAAGTGCTTCCTCTTCCTACTGCAGTGTCAACTGACACTGGTCATCATTCAGGTGAGAAAAAAAAACAGACCTGCATGTTATTTACAGGATATACAATTTACAGAATTCATTCAAAATTCATATTCATACTCTTGATGTCTTGGTTTTATAGTTCCTGGCCTGCCTTATTCAGCTACCTCCTCCCATGAACATCACAGACATACTGTGGCTTTCCTGCTTCTGTTACCCACTGCTAAGGTAATAAGGAAAAAATGACAAATAAGATGCCCACATGTGTCATATCAGCGATCTTTATATGTAAAAAAAATAAAAATAAAAAATGTTGGCATTCACAGCGTGTCCTTTCTGGGAAAATCGCCAGACAGTTCAATGATGACAGTCGCTACTGGAAAGAATCTGGACTCCATTCCACGCAAGGTCAGTCATGAGACCACACAATGCACTCGATTTAAACTGCAAACTATTTAAACACACTTGATGTAACTCACATGTGCGTTTGCGTTCATGTTATTTTTGACTCTATCTCTCAGACCCAGCACTACTTCCTAGGCTGGTTCCTGTTGAAGTTCGGTCTGACGATGTTAGCCTACTTAGTCGGCTTCAGGTTTTCTCTACAGGAAGTGTGTTCTAGAGCAGCTAACCTCACAAAAACTGATAACAGCACCATTACCTGCTCTCACATACTCGCATCTAGGTACACAAACACTTGAATGTCATTTTCTCTGTGTTTAGATGCCATGAATTAGTCATGAGTACTAATCAATGATTAATGTATACAGCTCACAGGATGGCCCGCAGTGGTTTAGTGAATTGTCCAATGGGCTGCTTTTGATTCAGAAGATTATGGCAGGTTTTCTGGCTTTGCACACAGGTGACTTTAATAAAATACATTGTCTCATTTGAATATTTATCTAGATGGATCTGAGTGAAAAAAAAGCATATTATCTCTCTTCCTCTCTTTCAGTGGTCATTTCTCTGAGCTATGTGCACCGTTCACAACCCCTGTGGAGGAAGAACCCGTTCAGTAACACATGGTGGTGTCTCACGGTGCCTGTGGTGTGAGTGTTTCATGTAGAGAATGCTTATTTTATTAGCAAAGTCACATGCTAAAAGTAATTTTTTACTAGTAAAATGTTTTTGAGGACTATTGTCACTTCCCTGGAATCAGTTAAATACACTTTGCCAATGTTTTTTCTTGCAGATTGTTGGGACAGGTGGTGCAGGCTGTGATAGATTATCAGTTGTGGCAGGACAGGAGTACAGAGGTGGTCTTCACACTACGTCACATTCCCCTCTTGGTCTGGCTGTTGGTCTCTCTGTCCATCGTACTTGTGGTGCTAATCAATGAAGCAGTAAAACTGCATGAAATCAGGTAAGAGGATAAATCGCTTTAATGTACAAATAAAAATTCTGTCATCATTTACTCACCTTCATGTCATTACCAACCCTGCAAAACATTCTTTCTTTGATACAATTAATGCATATATAAAAAAATATAAATTCGCTGTGAAAGTAGGCCACACAACTCATTCCAAGTCTTCTGAAGCTGTATGATAGCTTTATGTGAGGAATAGGCCACAATGTATACTGTTGTTCAAAATTTTAGTTCAGTAAGATTAAAAATTATAATAATATTTTTATTCAGTAAGGACACATTATATTACATTAATCAAAAGTGACAGTAAAGCCATTTAAAATGTTTTTTTAACTTTCATAAAAAAATATATCATGATTTTCACAAAAATATTAGGAAGCTAAAACTGTTTTCAACATTGATAAGAAAAATCAGCATATTAGAATGATCGTGTAACAATCATGAGTAACGGCTGCTGAAAATTCAGCTTTGCCATCACAGGAATAAATTACATTTAACATTACATTTACACAATTACATTTACACAATTAAAACATATTAAAATAGAAAACAGTTATTTTGAAATTTCACTACATTGACAGAATCTACTATTTCATTTCCTATGTGATTCCTTTAAATTCTTAATTAGTCCAAATCTAGCCTACATATGCCATTTATCATTTAACCCACAGCTTATGAAAATATGGCTCTGATTTCAGGGTGCGAGTGCGTTACCAGAAGAGGCAGAAGCTTCAGTTTGAGACTAAGCTGGGGATGAACTCTCCCTTCTGACCTGCATCTGTACAGGACAGCATGGTAGCACACGTCAGCATCATGTTCATTTCAGTGGTGGAGAAGATGAAGAATGCTTTGGATTTCCCCCAACAGAGCTCTTCCTGCAACACCTCGAATGGGCAGAACTCTGAAGGGCTGCGTTTTTAACTATCTTTGATTTAGGCTTTACTCAAAGTAAAGGTTTCATCTGTGTTGTTTGAGGGATGTTCACCTGCATGCTGCTTTGGTTTGGACAGGGACATAATTTTTTAATGAGGCCATTCCTTTACCCCCTCAAAACCTGAAACTGTAATGCACGGTATAGAGAATATATACCAAAATGTACAACGGAGGGCTAAATTAGCATGATTTTTCTGCTTACTTTTTATCTTTTTTATTAGATGTTGTGAAATGGGGATTTTATTGATTTCCTTTGTTTCAAACATGAGACAATTGACCGCTCATGAGATGAGCTTTAGCTGTAGGTTCTCTGTGTTCGTATTTTAGTCGTATGGTTCTTTATCACACTGCTGAGAGGTTTCGTGCAGTTCATTTAGTACGTCATAAGAGCTCGTTGAAGCCTGTTTTAACAGGTTATAATGTGAATGTCATCGCCTCAACTTACCTCATATTCAGAGGGGAAAGATTACATTCTGTTTTCTTTTGTGATCATGATGTACAAGTGAATTTTCTTGCATGAATATATCAGCTAGAGCAACTTAGCTAAGAAGCTTAGCTTCCAAAATCAAATGCAGTCAGTGTGAGACTGTGTGCAAACTCATTTACTAGCTTACTTAGAATCAGTCAGGCTTTAAATCTCTTTTCCTCTTACAGATCGATATCTGATGAAATGCATGAATATCTGGAATCTTTTGTAGTCTTCTTTTAAACAATTTTTTACTGCAAAGTTCTTAAGTTCAATCAAAACACAAAGATTTTTTTAACCAGGCAAAGCAATAGCTTTCCAGCTGAAGGAAGAATGGTCCAACTTGAATTGTTCTCATTCTGTCTACAGAGACGTTTGAAATGTTTTTTCATGTGTGATTGTCAGCCAGAATGTACTGAATTATTATTATTTTTTGCATACATTTGCATGCAAGACAACAAAATCACTTGCCTTTTTTCTCACCGCACATTTTTTTCAAGAGAATTATTTCCGATGTTCTGTAATGAATATATCTAACTCTGGATGGGGTGGGCTTATTTAAATTTGTATTTTTTGTAATGATTTTTTCCGCCCCCATCCAGAGAACTCAGTGTTTACTGGTAAAGAGGGATATTGAACTTTTGTTCTGTTCTACCTCTAGCTGATTGCTAATATAATTCTAGGCAACGTCATGATTTTAATAGGTTTTATTCTTAATTTAATTTATCCAGTTGGGCTGCAGCTATGGAGTATAAGGGGCTCAATTACTGTGTCACCAGATGTGCTTATTTAAAAATACATGCAAGTGTATTTTCTGACAGTGACCAGCTAATCTCCAAATTACCAGCATTTTTTTCCCCAAATACTAGTGTAATCCACTAACATGTAGACTGAAACCTCTGATTTAGCCTAGACTCATCAAAAGGAGAATTTAAAGGGATAGTCCACCCAAAAATTAAAATTGTTACCATTTACACACCCTCATGTTGTTCCAAACCTGTTAGACTTTATTTCCTCTGCAGAACATAAAATGAGATACTTTGTATAATGTGTTAATCGTTTGTATCCATACAGTGAAGGTCATTCAAGTTTGAAATGAGGGTGAAAAAATCTTTTTCTTTTATTCTTGAATTGACTTTTCATTTTTAGGTGAACTGTCCCTTTAAGTTGCTGCTATAACTGTATAAAGTGGTAGATTTTAAAAATGATTAATGTGTACAGGCATCATGGGACCTCTAGAACCTATACTCAAGAACCCAGTTAGTATTTTCTAAAGAACCTGTCTTTCCAATGAGCCACAGTCTACCCCCTTTTCTACGTAATGAACTGCAAGATGTCTTAATTTATTGATTTCCTGCCTTTATGTTCCTGTCTCACTGTTATACTCAAGTTTAAATCACAAATACATACTGTAACCTCTAATCTAATGTTGATATTTATTTTGAAATTATTACATATGCCTGTACATCAGCAAATGATTGCAACCTAACAGCCTTTTCCATAATGCATCTAGAGATTGTCTTAGGCACTGAATGTTATAGGTGTACGTGGTGCATTTTTGCAATGCATGTAATGTGCTTGCTTCTAGTTTTTCTGCACATGCAACAGGAAGGCGGGTCTTACGAAGTGTTCAGAGGTTATACTGCCCCATTACATAACTGTAGCTGTGGTCCGATGTTTCCGTTCAGCACCACTGTTGTGTAACTAAGCCACCCTAATACAGACATATCGGAGAAATCAAAAAGCAAGTTAAGTAGTTAATTTTTAATTGGTGCTGAATTAGTGGTAAAACAAAATGTACAATTAAGGAAATTGTAAAATATATCAGTATAGGTGAAAATGTGTTTTAATAAGCACTGATCTTCTGTTTTGGGATATGAGTTTGTGAACAGTGTTTTTTTTTTACAGTAATTATTTTTAAAATTTTCCCTTTTTTCCTGATGTATGCATGATAAAGACCAGAATGCAAGATTTTCTTGATTTACTCATCTGCTGAATATTGAATACGTTGACTCAGTCATGCATGGATTAAAAACTTGCTGATGTTTTTCCATCAGTCAGAAAATCTGTAATCTTTAAACCAGGAGTATGAATCAGGCCATTTTAGAGGGCTGTACAGAACCTCTCTGCAAAATACATGCCTGGGCTACAACCTACACTGATTGACCCAATATATTTGCTATTTATGAATGTTCATAAAATTTATAAATGTTGTACAGTTTGTATTTTTTTAAGATGTCTTTAACATTGATTTCTCCACTTCCCCAGAGATTATTTGTGAACCAATGTTGTTAATAAATATGTTCATTTCAAAACAAAGGAGTGCTTTTTCATTAAGAAAGTCTCTTATGACGTTGTAATATTCAATTGTCCAGATCTTGTCATCCATTCTGCCAACATCTGCAATTTTACATGGTACAAAAAAACGATAATTTGCTGAAAATATACTCACACTTGGGCCATCAAAGATGTAGATGAATTTGTTGCTTCATTGGATCAGATTTGGAGAAATTCAGCATTACATACTTGCTTACCAATGGATCCTCTGGTGTGAATGGGTGCCATCAGAATGAGAGTTCAGCTGACAGCTGACAAAAACATCACAATAATTCATAGTGAAAAGCTGCATGTTTGTAATAAACAAATCCATCAAGGCATTTTAACACTAAACCGTCGAGTCAATCTTAATCCAGAAAAATGCTTCTTCCAGGGATATGGGCAAAATTAATATGCTTTATTATATTTCAGATATTTAATATTTCACATTCTGTTACTGTAACAACTGGAAAAGTAGTCTGTGATGAAATACTGACTGAAAAAGTTTCAGGAGTTGCAGAAACACTCTTAATATTCAGCTTTTTAAAGACTTTTGCCTTTTTAAAGTTTATTTTATTTATTATTTACTTATTCCATTTTATAAACATAAAAATCACATTCCATGATTGTACTTAAACTACGACTTTATTGTGCCTCATTCAACCATCAAGGTTGTTGGAAATTATTACGCCCACTGTGTGTTGCTGTAGTCGTCCGATAGGGGGCGTTGTCCGCACCTAAGAGATGCCACAACATCAGAGGCTGTGATTGGATCTAGTGGTTGAAAAGCGGTATGTGGGCCAATCATTGTTGAAAGGTTAACTGTGCGTACTGCGTACTACAGAATGAAGCACGGCAGCGCCGGTGGATCCGCAGCTGCAGCACGCTGAAGGGTGTCATAAGATCATTTGAAGGACTCGCTATGTGGGTTTTTTCACATTTTATACCCGTTTAGAGGTAAATATGTCGGGAACGTCTGTTTTTGTGCTTTATTTGGTTCTGATGTTTGTTCATTAGGCGTCCGAGAAAGATGCCATTTGAAAACCCAAACGACCTGCTGTATATGTTGCAAAGGCATGACCCAGCCAAACAAACTTGTGTCAGAGATAGGGTTTTTAAAACATTTAGGGCTATACAACGCGGGAAAGATTGTTTAAAAAGGCTAGAAATGCACCGCACCCTGTGTGACACGACATTCATCACGCGCTAACAGACGCTGCATCAACAATTGCACACGCGTATTCACGTGCGTGGTCTTAATGCACAACAGGTCCAGTTTTAATGTGTATATATCTGATAACAATGCAGTGACACAAGCTACAGATTTATTGAGCAAAAGAAAACCCAGCAAAGGTAGATGCTACTGATGCACGTGAACGTCGCCTTGTTTATTTGTGCAAAACCTTAGTGAGGTTTGCAGAGAGAACGCAGTAAATTGAAGCAGACCTACATGTAATTAAAGTCTGGCCTACATCTATGGCTAGTGACCATACTGACTCCACCCAAATCTGAGTTTACATATTTGCTTAATATGGTTATTATCAACACTATTGGTTGTTCTGCCACATCTGCTGTATCTTGAGATATGCGTCTTTTTAAATGCAAAATAATGCCAAGGAAATACATCACATTAGTTCGCATACAGTGTTATTTTAGTATTGTTTATCTAATAAGATATTTATTCATATTTTAAATGACCTTTTATTTAATATTTTCAGTTGAATTTTAGTTTATTAAATGTTTCCATAGTTGTTGTTTTTCTTTTTTCCAGGTTTTAGTCATTTTTGTACTTCAAGTTAGTTGCCAAGGTAACTTTTCTTCTTTTTTTTTTATTGTTCTTCTAATATTTATAGCAGGTTTATTTTATTTCTGCTTCATTTCAGATATTGAAATCGATTTGTAATAGTTTTAGTTTTAGTTAACAACACTGGTTGCATGTAATTTATTAATCTCTAAATTTTTTAATTCAAATCATTAATCACTGGATTCTGGAAATGTGGCTTATTTCATGGGCTTCTTAAACGGCAATATTAGAACTAAACATTCATTTGGCTTCAAATGACATTTAGAAATACCATCAATGTGTATTTGCTGTTTTTGTCTTTCTTATATTTTAGAAATAAAATCAAGTGATCTTGCATGGTGCAGGTGCTTATTAGGGTCATTTATTAGGTACCCCAAATGAGGAGCTCCTGTGCCAAGCTAAAAGAAGTCGGGATGGTGCCTTCAGCTGATGTTTAATTATATTTCACTCTTTTGCCTGTTCCTCCTGTTAAAGAGAGGCTGAACAGGAGTTTTGAGGTCCAAGATGGACGTGGACGTCCCTAAACCCCGTGTGTTTTTCAACTACAGCCCCACTGCCCTGTTTTCACAGTGAGAATCGTTCTGCATGGTGTTGCTCCTGTGTGTGTCTTGCAAGATGGACGTCCACCGCTTTACGCATCAATACTGCGCTGAAGCTCTGCTTTATCCTTCAGCTGAGCCAGTTGTTGTAGAAATACCTCATGCAAATGATTTGATTAGAGGTTTCATTCGGTCAGGGAGATTAGAATTTTTGCCATTACTGCAAGAAGACAAAATATATTATTGCAATTTTGTCCAGTCCGCTGCTTTGCTGTGTGCTTGAACTTTAAAATCGAATTTAATAAAACAAAGACTGTGTTTGTTAAGTGTTGTGTTTGAAAGGTCTAATATGTTCCAGAAAAGGTTTCCACAGCCTTTAATATCCTAAATCCAATTATAGAGTCTCAGTGTTTGTTAAATGTGATCTTTGTTCTCCTTATTGAGCCAACTGGGTAGCAAAAATTAGGCTAACTAATCTCATAAATGAGTGCTCAAATATAAACTTATGATTAGAGTTCTGCAGATTTTGTTCTGGAATTGAAAGACAACCGGAAGACTCATCTTTGCCGTTGTCATCAACCATTCATTCGTGTTGCATGGCGTTACTGAGAAGGCCCATGTAAGGTGGTACATGGTGCGGACTAAAGTTCAGGTGTCACTCTGTTCATGGACCTTACAGCTTGTTCTGCGTCTCTAGGTGGAGTTTACCGGTTGGTCCGACCCAAGTGATGGCCGCGGTGAAAGATGGACCGTGGAAGAGCCTGAGCTCTGGGAAGAAAGTAGCTTTGGCTGCTGGCCTTTCTGTGGGGGCCACTGTGGGATACCTTGTTTACCGTCACATTCGAAGCAGCAGTGGTAAGTTGTGAACTCTAGCAAGCTTTTTTCCATGCTCTGAACAATTGCCATGTGCTGACATAAGTTTTCACTCACTGATTGTCAAAATGATATTGTTTTGGAAGTATAAAAATGATAGTATAGTGTTGATATTCTTCATTCCATCATTTGATTTCTGTAGTGCAATGCCAAAGCAAAGAGGAGACCAGAATATCCGTTCCTCTTGATGTGTACCGATCTATTGCAAGATATCAGAGCACCTTTCTAGACATAGTGAGTGTTCGTTCTGTCTTTTTTTTTTGTATGGCACTAGAACTATACAGTATATGCAATATACCGTTCAAAAGTTTGGGGCCTGTAAGATTTTTTAAATATTTTTGCAAGCATCTCTTAGGCTTACCAAAGCTGCATTTATTTCATCAATAGTAATATTGTAAAATTGTTAGTGTTTAATATAGCTGTTTCTTTTTTAATACATTTAAAAATGTAATTTATTATTGTGGTTGTAAAGCTGAATTCTCAGCAGCCTTTCTTCTAATCATTATAATATACTGATTTGGTATGGTTATTTTTATTTATTTATTTATTATTTTTAAGTTTATTTTAAAAATATTTTTTGTTACATTATGAATGTCTTTACTGTCACTTTTGATCAATTTAATGCGTTCTTGCTGAAGATAATGGATAATTTCTTTAGGAAAAACATTTTTGACCCCAAACTTTTGAACAGTGGTGTATATATGTGTATACTATGAGCATTGTTTGGCTCTGTGATGAATTACGTATGTTCTTCATTTGTAAGTTGCTTTGAATAAAAGTGTCTACTAATATGAATATGAAATATTTACATTTTTACTTTATTTTATCTTAAAGGGGTCATATGATGCGATTTCAAGTTTTCCTTTCTCTTTTATTTTAAATGCAAATATTTTAATTTACTAATTTTATGTGATTTCCAGGGCTGTAAATCAACAAAGTATTGGAAAAGTATTGTAGTAGATATATTAAGATATTTTCCTTTTAAATGTGTTCTCTATAAAACTTTTTCACCTTATTCAACAATTATGATATTATGGGTAAATAATCATAGAAAAACAAAATTGTTGGTGAAGAAGATATATGATTTGTATCATGCGGTTCTCTTAACTCTCACATTTGTGTAGGTGAATCAGAAGTCTGGTGCCCAGATAAATGTGCTGCCGATCACTGAACAGCAGAGCACGGTGAATTTTCTGGTCCAGGGCTCACCGGAGCAGATTCTTATGGCACAGTGTGCTCTGGAGAAACTGGCCACCGACTGTGAGGTCACCACTGATGTTATAGACGTGCCTCAGACGGCATTTGGACGAATTATAGGTTGGCGGACAGTTTAGTGCCTATTGTCGTATTTTTAGAGCATCTGTGCTTCGCATCATTCTGTCAACGTATAATCTCTTGTGTAAAATGTTTGAAATGTTGTTTGCTTCAGGTCGTGGTGGTGAGACCTTGAAGTTCATAAACAGAGTCTCGGGGGCCAGAGTGAACTGCTCTAAAGATCGTGGACACAGCTTAGATGAGAAGGGCAAGATCATGATTACCGGCACACGCAAGGAAGTTCAAAGTGCAAAGGTGAGATTTTAGCATACGTGTGGTTTAGAAAAAGTTTCTGCATTCACGGACAGGTTTTATGCACATGTAGTGAGTGAGACCCAGTGTTAGATAGATTTTTTTTTTCCTCACAGGAGATGATCATGGAGAAGGTCATAGAGAATGAAACTGTGCGAAAGCGAATAAGTCAGGCTTCTGCCCTGCGTCAGAAGAGGAAATCGCCGGAAACGGATCAGTTTAACAAGGCTCAAGGACCTGAGAATGAATTATTAAAGCTTAATGGAAAAGATTTACCTTCCCCAGTGACTGAGCTTAAACAAGAGGGGCCTGTTACGGTCAGCGGCTTTACAGACAACAGTGATACAGCTGAAAACTCCCTTAAATCAGAAGAGGAGGAGGAGCAGATTCTGTCTCCAGTATCGCCTTTGGAGATCTACAAATTTGAAAGTATGATTCGTCAAACCCACCTTCACAAGGCCAGTGAATTAATGGAATTGTCAAAAATAAAATTTTTGTCATCATTTACTCACATTCATATGATTCTAAACCAGAGTTATTTTAGTATCATTGAGATAATATTGTAGTTTTTATTATTATTTTGTTAGTTTTTATATTTTTGTTTTCATTTTAATTTGTTAATTTTTGGTGAACCTTTCCTTAAACATGTTTTTTGCAATTTATCAAGGAATAAGGCTAAATGATTAATCCAAAATTAAAATGAAAAGCTTTTAAAGAGAAGATTTTGAGGGGTTCCTGTGAATTTTTTTTCCGACAAAATAAGCTTGTTGACTTAGTTTGAAAATTACGGTTTATAATTTTACAGTTGTTCTGTGAAATAATTTTTTTTTTATTGAATACTTAATTTTTAATTTTTATATAATTTTTTATTAATATATTTTTTTTTTAATTTATTAATTTTTTTTACAGTACAATATTATTTCTATATTGCTACATTATATAAATTGTTAGTATATTGATATATTAATATTACAAATATTGGTAACACTTTACAATATGGTTCAATTAGTTAATGTTAGTTAATATATTAACTAACATGAATAAACAATGAGCAATACATTTAAATATTTACAGTATTTATTAATCTTTGTTAATGTTAGTTAATGAAATTAGTCGTTCATCGTTCATGTTAATTCAGAGTGCATTAACTGTTAACAAGCACAACTTTTGATTTTAGTAATGCATTAGTAAATGTTGAAATTAACGTAAACTAAGATGAATAAATTCTGTAGAAGTGTTCATTCCTAATTCATGTTAACTAATGTACCTTATTGTAAGGTGTTACCCCCAAATATTACTATATAATAAAAATATTTATTGTTTAATATTTTTATTTAATAATAAAAGATGTAATAATAAAATGGCAAAAATTGTCATATTGATATATAATCACAATATGATTTTGGGGGGGCCAAATTGTGCAGCCCTACAGACCTGGAGCTTTTTTAAAAAAAAAAATTATTTTAAACTGCACAATTTATATCAGAAAAATTGCAGTTTTACTTTTTCTTCCCTCAAACTGTTCAGCCCCACACAGGAATCATTTTCAGTCTCCCGTAGAAGACCAAATAACTAATAGTCTTTTCTAACCAGTTCCTAGTCCAGACCTGAGCTTCCAGCCCGATGAGCATCTGGAGGTGTATGTGTCTGCCTCTGAGAATCCTCAACACTTTTGGATCCAGATCCTAGGGGTCCGATCTCTACAGCTGGATAAACTGACGGCTGAAATGAGCCGTTTCTACAACAGTGATACCTCACAAGTAAGTTTGCTTGACCCCACTTGACTTAGGATCCACGACCCTAATAAATGGGTAAATTATTTCTTCTATATTAGTAGTAAATAATTATTTCTACTCTTACCTCAGGAGCACAGAGTGGAGACCATTATTGTTGGAGACATAGTGGCTGCTTCATACAGGGACCATGGCACGTGGAATCGTGCTCGAGTGTTGGGAATTCTGGGCTCTGGCCTGGTGGATTTGTATTACGTGGACTTTGGGGACAACGGGGAGCTTCCACGGGAACATTTACGAAGCATGAGGTAAATAGGAGATGGAGAACGCAGAATCAGCTATTTATATGCTTATTGGGCTCTTGATTATTGTGTTTTACCTTCTATGAATAAACGCAGATGCATTTTGGGTGTGGTGTGTATACAATACTCATTCTGATGGTATATTATTTTGTGGCGTTTAGAAGTGACTTCCTGAGCCTGCCCTTCCAAGCCATTGAGTGCAGCCTAGCTGGGGTTCGTCCAGCAGGTAAAGAGTGATGTTCAGGTGTTTATCAGTGAAATATAATTTTTGTATAATTTCAAAAGAATAAAGTAAAAATGTTATGTTTGTTTTAGGAGAGGTTTGGACTGAGGCAGCCCTGGATGATTTTGAACGCATAATATACTGTGCTGAATGGAAACCTTTACTGGCCAAATTGTACAGCTATTCTCATTCTGAGATCTCATCCTGGCCCAGTGTGAAACTCTATGACAACAGCCAGGGAAAGGTTAGAGGTCACAACTCACTTTTGAATTTTGCAGTTGTGGTATAAATTCTGACCATGTTGACAGGCGCTTCAATTGGGAATATTTTATATTATATTGCATTTAACTTTTTGCACTTAGTTGACACTTTTATCCAAAGTGACTTAAAGGTATACATTTTATCAGTAAATTTCCTGGGTATCAAACCCATGACCTTGGCGTTGCTAGTTCCATGCTCTACTGTTTAAGGTATTGTAATGTGCAACTCATAGGTTACCTCTTCTGAAACAGTGTTTTGGTATTATTTGTATACTATTATTAGTTTTGATTTATATTTTGAATTGGCTTATATTTTTATATTTTCAGTTTTTCATTTAATTGGTTAAATTTTTAGTAATTGTATTATTTGCCATTTTTATTAGTTTTGAAAAGTTTATTTTAGTTTAAATCTTTTCAGTACTTCAGCTTAAGTTTATTTCAGGTATTTAATATTTTTATTTTATTAATATTAAAACAAAATTTTTTTAAACCAATAAAATATGTTTGTTATTTGAAATAGATTTCATTAATAATAACAAAACTGTTCTGAACCCTGCTTAATCGTAAAGTCAATCTACACATTCATGTGCTCTTTAGCAGAAATTTAGCAGAATTGCTCTCAGAATTGCAATGATGCAACAACCGCTCTGAACATCTAGGGTCTAGCACCCATCCAAATCACCCTAAAAAATACTGAGCGACACTGACATTGTGATGGCGAGAGTTGCTTGGACAGGCACCACTCACATTTCCTTCTGAAATTGTAAAAGTTTGTTTTGTTTTTAATCCTCTATGGTCTGTCATCTCTGTCTCAGGCTCTGGATCTCGGTAAAGAGTTGATTCGTCTCGGTCATGCTGTGAGCTGTGAGGATGAAGGGATTGGGCTGAGGGGAGACTGGGATGAGTCCAGATCACTGCAGAAGATGCTGGTAAGATGCATATGAATTGTGTTATACAGTGTATTACAGGTGGAAGCAGCACTAGGAGAATCATTGTTTAATTTTTGTACAGGACGACATGACCGGAGCGACATCAGAACTCAGTATGTCCTGTATCAGTTTGTCAGGTACGTTTTCTCAGGGTGGTTCCTAAGGAATTAAGAAATTAATTGAGATGCTTTAACTTCCATGGGCAGCTTCCTTGTTCATGCAATTTACTTTTTTTTTTTTTTTTTAATTTTCTTCAAAATTCTGCATGCATCACATGCTTGCATTCTGCCACATACGCTGTTCAAAACCTTGGGGTTAGTAAATTTTTTAAATTATATTTTTATTTAGCAAGGACACATTAAAAGTGACAATAAAAGAAAAAAAGACATTTATGTTACAAAAGATTTATTTATATTTTTAAAAAATGCAGTTCTTTGAACTTTTTCTATTCACCAAAGAATCTTGAAAAATCATCACAGTTTTCACAAGACTATTAAGCAAGTTTTCAACATTGTTGATAGTAAGAAATGTTTTGTGAGCACCAAATCAGCATATTAGAATGATTGACACTTATCAATGGAGTGGAGTAATGGCTGCTGAAAATTCAGCATTGCTATAAAAAATTTATTACATAATAAAATAGAAGACAGTTATTTTAAATTGTAATAATATTTCACAATATTTCACAATATTTCTGTTTTACTGTATGTATTTGTTTCTTTCAAAAACATAAAGAAAAAATCTTACCAACCCCCAACGTTTGAAAAGTAATGTATTTCAGTTCAGCAGAGTTTAACCAGTCCTCGGGATGGCGTATTTGAAGGTACAGAATATCCATGGATAAGCAAGCAGCTGGAATGGTTTTCATCTCTCACAAGCTCTTTGGAGATGGAGCGAGCAGACGTGGACCAGAGCCTGTGTTTTGGACTCATGTCTTCCTCTTCCTTAATTCACTCCACTCCATCTCAGAACCTGAGTGATCTGGTCAGCCAAATACTTGAGTCGTCTTCCTCCATGCTAGACCCACCAATCCAATCAAATAACTTAACCCCTGCATCACCATTACACGTGCCATCAGTGCAGGAAATCTCATCTTCGTCTCCATCTTGTGTGGAGGCTGTGACATCAGCGCTGGATTCCTTCACTCTTAGTGATGACGTTTTCCTTGGGACGAACTCTTACAGCAGGAAGAATAAGATGACATCTTCTGCATTAGAAGAGACGGGTTCATCTTGTACGGTGGACAGTTCCAGTGGAAATGAAGAGAGCAGCAACAGCAGTGATGGCATCAGAGGAGTGTGGTATTACCTCACTTCCTCTAGGGACTCCTCTGAAGCGTCTCTCAGCACCACCATGCCTCAGTCGTCCACTACATCTTATTTGACAGAATCTTGTGATGAAACCGCTGCTTCCTCTGGCTCTGTGATTGAACGGAGTTCAGATTCATCCAGGAGTGCTGAAGATGCTGAAATGCCACTCAGACCAGCTAATCGGGCTCATCCACACCCGAATCCAGAGGTCATCACTCTGAGTGACAGTAGCAGCTGTGGAAGTGACCTAATTAACACTTCTGAAGAGTGTAAACATAAGTCCTTTACAGAAGGAAATTTAGATAAACCAAACCCACTAAAAAGTGATGTGAAATGCCAGAGGTCAAGCTTGTGTGATGAAATGCTACATAATGAAGCAGGAAGTGCAACTGAAGGAAGAGGACAAGATTTTCTGGAACTAAAGAACATGGATTTCAAAACTGAAACAGTCAACAGTGGTGAAGACAATTCAAGAGGTGTAGCTTTTATATATAACTTAACGACACACTGGAGCACATTGGATCTCTGTGGGATGTGACTGGTTTTCACTGAAGGGCTTTAATACACCTTGCTACAACTTTACACTTCACGTGGGTTTAAGCTTCAGTGGGAGAGATGCTTTCCGTTTTATTACTGGTGCTCATTTAAGGTGAAGGGTTTTCAAAAAACGTAACTCTAAATATCTAAGATATTAATGTAATTATGGCCCAAAATTCTGGAAACTTTTAACTATTTAAATTAGGCAAGCTGCTTCTTATGACTTATTTTAAATTTTCATTTTTCTTTATGGATTATAGGGCTGGGCGATTTTGCAAAAAATTTAAATCTTGATTTTTCCAGAATGTTTGATCGATTCTCGATTTTTTTTTTTTTACGATTTTTAACTAGTCAACTTGAAAGTGTAACTACAACATGATTCAAGTTACTTTTTCTTTATTAACCCTCTAGTTAAAGAAAATTCTATTCCAAGTGCAGCACACATGAAGTTGTCAACATTGGTGTAAATGTTAAACAAATCACTTGTTAAATATCTTCGTAAATCGCCGACATGCGGTTGGATCGTTCTTTTTTCTTTACTGTTATCACCGTCATATTGTCAAAGTGTCTAATTCTAACATTTGGATTCCTCGATTTCTAACAAATAAAATCGTGGCAAAACAATAAATTCGAATTAATCGATAAAATCGGGAAAATCACCCGAATAATGGATTATGGTATACAAATAAAATGTATTAGTAGTAGTGTTAGCAGTGTTGCTATATATTAAATATTGTATTAATATACTATATAAATATGAATATAGAATTAATATTTTTAATTAACTAATTTTTATATTTTCGAGTTTGTCATTTTGTTGTGCTTTATCATTTTTATATTTTTTAAAATTATTACTTTTATTGTATTTTTTAAATGTTTTTATATTGTTTCTATATGATGCTTCATCTTAAATTTATTTTTAGTCAAGTTGCCTATTAAGCAACATTTCTAATTTTATATTTTTTCTAATTTCTATTTTATTTTAGCTTTATTTCAATTTATGAAAAAGATTTTTTAAAAGATTTAGTTTTAGCCAACAATTATTATTAGCAGCAGGGTTTCATTCAATTTTTCCCCTAGGTTTGTTTGATTTTGATTTTCATGCAAAGGCCTATTTTTAGTCTGTTACAGGTCAGGCAACCTTAAAATGTCTTAAAAGCGTCTAGCACCTTTAAATTTAGGAGTAAAATGTTCTTGGGTTGTGTCCTTTATATGATATATATCAGTTTTGCCCTGTTGAACGTCCTTTTTTTTTTTTTTTTCAGAAGTTGCCTCAATTTCTGGAAGTGTGGATGACACTCTTGATGAGGAATTCAACTGACAAAAGACCAAAAACATATATGCCTTGATATTGGTAAGCAAACATCAGTATAATCTCATATTATATATAGTTTGGATGCTCCTGAATATAATATCCCATTTAAGACCAGATGATTGATTTAATGATGTCACTCTCGCTGTACTCTCCTCCCCAGAGACCAGTTGTTATCCTCATTTAGCATTCGACACATGCTTCCTGTCTCTGAAAAAGAGCCTTACTTGATTACGCCACCTGCTCAGACTGCCTGTATTTACTGCATACGTTCTCTCATTTAAGGAATGATATTCACAGCTTGTATCTTGTCTGAACTTTTCTGGAGATCTGGAAGACATTTGATGGTTTATTTTTACTGTTTACTGTTCTCATTGTGTTCATCTCATTTACATATATAACGTTATGTCAGTCATTCTTTGCATTGCGTTGATCGTCTGAAGAACAGATGAAAGACGGTTAAAGAGCAGAGCTCAGGGAACTCATGATTGAGTTAGTTAGAAACCTCAGTATTGTTGCAGTGTAGCACCAAAGTTCCTTTTGGGTTGTGTTTAGCAGTGATATGATGGTTCAGTTTGTTGATGGATCTTTTTTTTTTTTTTGTACTGTTTGTATTCTGTTTCTCATTTTCTTTGTCAAGTTATTTATGTTGTGAATTGAGTTTTATTACATTGAATGCTATGGTATATATGTGTATACAATCAAATAAAGACTATTATTATACCCCATATATTTTAATGACTTGTTTTAGCCAGTTGGGTGAACAGTCCTTCAATTGTTTTTGGATCATTGTTCTACGATAAAATGGATGAACACTGTTTTTAATAATAATAATAGAATTATTCAAAGGTTGTTATAAAATATGTACGATGTTATGTGAAAATGGTTGAAATAACCAGGAGATCACAACAATGGCTGAAAACATGGTAATGGAAATAGATAATATCTCTTCCATTATATTTAAAGAAAGCAAACCAAGCAATACAATTGTGAGAAGCAGCAAATAATTCAGTAAAAATGTAATGCTTAATCCATAACTAAGGCAGTCAACTTCATATACAAGATTACTGATTGAAATTCTTTGTGTATGTCAAGTTCAAAATATGTTTGTTGGTTTTGAGTAAAATAAAAATATTTGAATGTTGTGAGGTGTAGTTAGGTTTAATCGAAAACGCCAATAAATGTTGCAAATGTGAGGCTGTGCATCAATAGATTACTGTAAATAAGTTGTAAATCTGTTGTTTGTAACTAGTTTTCCTTTCTCAATGAATGGATATTAAAAAAAGGATATGCTTAACCTTCAGAAAATGTTGATCGTTCGTCAACCTCAAAGTCCGAATCCAAATCCAATTTAAACCTATTTGTGTGATTTTACAATTTTATAGCAATAAAAATTATATACATTTCTGAATTAAATTTACTTAAAATTTTTACTACAATTTAAAAATGTTTCTGCCACAATGTGTATGCCACAAATAAATGACTCAAACGTAACTAAAAAGACGGGGAAAATGTAATCCTTTTTGATAAACACAACAGGTTTTGAAAACTATATAAAGCGGCACATACGGTTTATAAAATACTATTTTTTATTTTATTTATATACTAATTATTATTATTAAATTTTTTTTTTTTTTATAATAGGACTACAACAGCACACCTCACTGAACTATTCACCATCCTATTTGCTAAGCTGGCCACACATCCAAACATTTATCACCCCATCCATCATCTCATCCTGTCATTTTCTATTACCATGAAGTTATGACCATAGACACATTATATTTAATAGTTATAGTCAATAAATCTGCTATGGCACTACAAAGTCGGTATTTATTTGATCTGTAATTATTCACCAAAACATTTCCTCACTAAAACGTTTCCTATTACCTTATATGGTGTAAAGGTGAAGAACAGGTGAACCGTGATTGGCTAATATCCATGTCAATCATTCTAGATCCACGCGCACGCGCACGCGCACTTGAGCCATGACAATTGTTGATAATCAACTGGAGTTATTTTTTTCCTTTAGAGTAAAATAATTTCAAGCCAAGCCCTTTCCCCCAGGGGAGCTCTTGGACCATACCACAACGAACATAAGATACCGACTTGCATGAAGGGCTAATGGAAAACCCAAGGGATATGGTAAGACAGAATTTATTTGAGCCCGCTTCCTTGATTTAGCGCAGTTAGCGGCTAGCAGTGTTAGCCGTCCTCTTTGTTTTGGTTGTCAGAAATAGATCCTGCTCGTCACACAAACTACAAAATTTACCTCATTCAAATCATTCGTAATACTCTCTATGTTATGTAACAGCTTATTCAAATTAGCTGTCTCACTAAATGATGCAAATACAACTGATAATGTATGTGTTTTGTGTATGTGAAATATACCCGCAGGCCCATGTGTGTGTAAATGTTTGTGTTTACGGTTGTGTCTCAAAACATAGTTAGTAACTTAGACAGTATTTATGGGGATCTTAAACGCGTTAAGCACGTTTTCTGAAAACGTTCTATGTAGAAAGCTCTCTAGGTTTTCAGGCACAGCATATATGTAAGTTTGTGTTGTGATATGACCTAAAAATCACTTTATGGTGGGTTATGGGGATCTAAAATGTGTAGATTTTAGTCAAATGGTATTTTAGCAGGTGGTAATGGAAATGGCATGCGTTCAGATGGAGAAAAGGGTCTGAAATTCATTCTGAAATCAGGTCACAGTGGTTTGGACAAATCCATGTCTGATCCACCAGTCTGGTGCTTCAATGTTGAAAAATATAAATATGTAGAACCTGAAAATACAGCAGATGTCATTGGAAATATTAAATGAGATTCTTTTGCTTTGGCTGTCTCTTGTCTTGAAATGTGCTGTGGGGATATTGGGTGCTGATGATATTGACCCTTTTTACATGATATTTGCTTTTTTTGTGACCCATGAGAACCTTCAATTTTATTCATGTGATATAGTCTGCTTCCTAATTCCCAGCTCATTAAAGCATTGATTAACTAATATAAAGATTATGGTTATCACTGACTGTAATATTTATCAGGCTGTATTATGTCAAAGGTAATAATTTATTGAAGTATTAGTGATATCTAAGTGAGCCTTAATCCTTGTCTTTCTTTGCTCTTCCATTAATTTGACGTTACTTATTTCTTTTTTTAATTTCTCCACATTTTTCACTCCTCTCGTCATGCGTAGGCTGAGCACACTCCCCGCTCAGAGCGGAAGAGGAGAGATTCGTTCGGGATGTTTGACGGGTATGACAGCTGCAGTGAAGACAGCAGTAGCAGCTCCAGCTCAGAGGACAGTGAGGATGAAGTCCCCAGCATCGGGGTCCAAAAGTCTGAGTACACAAAAAATTGGTTTTATTTTTCATTTAAACCTAGAAATAAACAGAAAGTATTATGATTTTTACTAAAATAATTTCAGGCCAACTTTTTGCTCATTGAAATTTTATTATAAATGTAATTAATTTTAATATAATTTCTAATGAAAAATTGTTTAATACCGTATTAATCTCCTACCTAACAAAAAAGTATCATTATGGTTTGCATTTCATCTAGGATAATTGTTCAATATAACGATGCACTGAAATAAAAATTCTGGGCTGAAGCTGAAAATTCAGGATGCACTTGGTCAGTTCATGTGCCACTTGAACTGAGGTGGCTACAGCAATCTGTTATGCCACATTAAAGATTGGCTTGCCGCGATAGACGGTCCTGACGGAGGGTCCTGACGGAGGGTCCTGTTAAGCCGCAACACCAGTTATGTCACTTGCCCACCGCGTCACCGACCCCCACCGTCGTTTAGATACCCCGCGGTGATGTCACACGCCGATTAACCGGTGGGAAAATTTCCTCACCGACACAACCCTAATTAAAGACAGAGATAAAACCTCATTTATTGTTTGAATTTAATGTTTTGTTTTTTTTATTAAATCAACAGAATTTGAAAGCAGAGACTGTTTCATACTAAAGCACAAATCTTATCGCAGTTATTGGATGGCAGGTGCACTACAAATAAAATTTAATAAAGTTCACGCGTCAAAGGAAAACAGCCTAGACTAAAAGATTGATCTTGAGATTTAGAAACACATATCAGTATCGAGTAAGGAGAAATCAGTATTGTTAATCCTGCACTAGGGTCCACACAGATGTGTACCTGTTGTAGTTTAACCACATTGTGTGCACAAATATAGACTCCGAAACGTGCAATTAGAAAAACGTGAATTAAACGTCACCGTTTTGGACAATTATTTTAGCCCTCCAAAAATGGCCGGTTTCAGTTGGTTTGAGCTGAAAATTTTTGGTTGCCAAAATTTCAGTGAATTACTTGTTCAATAGTGTGAATATATGATTAATGATTGTGTTTTTTCATGCAGCAACCTGTGAGATGTGTGGTATGGTTGGTGTGCGAGATGCTTTCTACTCTAAAACAAAGAGATTCTGCAGTGTATCCTGCTCTAGAAGCTATTCCTCCAATTCTAAAAAGGCCAGTATACTGGCAAGACTTCAGGTAACTACTCATGGACTTAAGAAGCACTCCTAATCAAAACACTACCTTTATTGTTGTTCAATGTATGTATTCTTCTTGTGTCCTATTAAGGGTAAACCACCTACGAAAAAGGCAAAAGTCTTACAGAAACAGCCATTAATGGCAAAGTTGGCAGCTTACGCACAGTATCAAGCAAATCAACAGAACCAAGCTAAATCAAAATCAGGTAAATATCCAGGTTTAAAGTGTCATTATGTAATTGTATTCCTAATTGATTAATAATCTGTTGTCACATCACTTAACCACAGCATCATTTGTTCTTTTGCTCATGTAGTGGTACCTGTTGAAGGCTTTGACTGGGGCCAGTACATTTGTAGCAATAATCTTGTTGGTGCACCAGTCAGCTGTTTCAAACATGTGAGTACAGGTAGAGGTTGATGGAACAATATTTTTTTTTGTATTTAATATATTGACTTTTTTTTTTTTATAAATACTGTTTGTTACTTGATCACTCTCCAGGTGCCCATGGGTATGTGCTGGGGTGACATAGCAGAGGGGGTGAGGGTGGAGGTCCTCAATTCTGACACAAACCTCTCCACAAAAGTTTACTGGGTAGCAGGGATTGTCAAACTGGCAGGTAATGTTGTAGTTTAATGACTGCCAAGGTTTTTTCTGTTAAGAATCTTTCAAGTATTATAACTGAAAAAGGTATCATATATTATTTATTTTCATCATTTCTCAGGTTTTAAAGCTCTTCTGCGCTATGAGGGTTTTGATAACGACTCAAGCAAAGACTTCTGGTGTAATCTATGTATCCCAGAAATCCACCCTGTTGGATGGTGTGCTACTAGTGGAAAGCCACTGGTGCCTCCGAAATGTATGTGAAACATTAAGCCAATCAAAACTACGTAATTTGCTGATTTCTTTACTGTTAAAGTGGTGTGAAGTTGCCGTTGCTGCATAGAAGTAATTATAAATTTTTATATTTTTTTTAATATATAATTTTTTTATATATATATATATAACTTGTTTTTATAGCCATCCACCATAAGTATTCTAACTGGAAAGCGTTTCTTGTGAAACGACTCACTGGAGCCAAAACACTTCCACCAGATTTCGCCACAAAGGTAAGACACTATCCGAGCAGTGATCATGAAACCGTTTTCCACTAGAGAGATACTCTAGAAAAACCAGTAATGCAAGATCTTCCTGATATAAAGATCACAAATTGTTGTGGTGCAGGTGTCAGAATGCCTTATTATAACACAGGAAGCAGACATCAATGACCATGTTTACTTGCACGTCATTGCCTGTCACTGTGATAAAGTGCAATAAAAAAAAATTGTGTAAACATTTTTGTTAATTTCTTTACGTTTTTGTTTCTTGTATTTTTTTTCTGTTGTTTGACTTTTTGAAAGTAGCATACAGTTACTTTTATTTGTATATAAAAGTATAATGAATTATATAATTAATATTTGATTACAATTTCTTTGTTCAAAAGAAATTAATACTTTGGTTAAGCAGGGATGCATTAAATTAATCAAAATTTATAGTAAACACATTTATAATTTTACAAAAGGTTTTTATTTCAAATAAATGGGGGGTTTTTTGTTGAATTTTTAAAAATGTATCTGTTTCTACAAAATATTAATCTACAAAAAATATGATGATAATAATAATAATAATAAAAGTTTCTTGAGCACCAAATTAGCATATTGGAATGATTTCTGAAGGATCATGTGACACTGAAGACTAGTGAAACAGATTTGCCTTCACAGGAATAAATAAAAATTTTTTTAATATAGTTTTAAATTGAAACAATATTCCACTATTACTGTTTTTAATGTAATTTTGATCAATAAATGCAGCCTTGGTGAGCATAAGAAGCTTCTTTCAAAAACATAAAAAATGTTACAAACCCCAACCTTTCACAGTAATCTCCATCTGTGAGCAAAAAACTATTTGTTTAAATGTTTAACTAAAGGTTCAGGAAAACATGCAGTACCCGTTTAAGAAACTGATGCGTGTGGAAGTTGTGGATAAGACCCACCTGTGCCGAACCCGCGTGGCCCTGGTGGAACAGGTGATCGGCGGACGTTTGCGCCTGGTGTATGAGGAGAGCCAGGACGGCACCGATGACTTCTGGTGTCACATGTACAGCCCACTCATCCACTCCATTGGCTGGTCACGTAGCATTGGACACCGTTTCAAAAGATCTGGTCAGTGTGGGAGTCTGAATGGTTTTCGATTGACTTTTTCAAAGTTGATTCAACAAAAAATAACATTTGATGAAGTTGTTGTGGCTTATGGATCTAAATGTGTCTAATGTTGCCCTCTGTAGAGGTGACAAAGAAAATGGAGGGTCAGATGGATGCTCCGTCACAGTTGTTTCTTAAGGTATATTTGTAATTGTTTTGTTTTGTTTTGTTTTTTTATTCGACTGTGTTTACAGTCACATTCATGTGTCATCTTTTGAACCCACAGGTTAAGGATGTGGATCAGAGTGGGGAATGGTTTAAAGATGGAATGAAGTTGGAGGCAATAGACCCTCTAAATCTCTCTGCTATATGTGTTGCTACTGTAAGAAAGGTAAAATGCCATTTTGTCATTTTTCTCTGTTAGTCTTAAATGTTGATTTGGGCAAAAAATAAATAAAAAATCACAACACTACAGTAGTAAAAATACAAAGTAGAGATTTGTAATTCAGAAAAAAATAGACTAGAAATTGTGAAATACAGGAAGAATTTTTTTTTCAAATATTCAGTATAATCTTATATAAACATATGGGCATCTATACATACAATTTTCTTTATATAACTGTACCAGCACCTATCACCTAAAAATACATGTGAACACGTACCTATATTCAAAGATACCGAATATTGTAAATAATACAGAACAATTACCCATCCGCCCTTCCCACCCACCTCTCTCCATCTGCTTGATACGCACTGCATGGGGAAAACAGCTAAAACAAAATCAGTTATTAGTGAAATGGTCAGGAAGAAGTATTTTAACTTGGAATTGATTATCTTCTCTCAGGTGTTGGCAGACGGGTACCTAATGATCGGGATTGATGGTTCTGAGGCTGCTGATGGGTCAGACTGGTTCTGCTACCACTCAACCTCTCCCTCCATCTTCCCAGTCGGCTTCTGTGAAATCAACAACATTGAGCTCACACCCCCAAGAGGTGCTTTTCCTCTCTTTCTGCAGTGTGATCTGATCTGACTGCATCACTGAATGAAATTTGGCCATTTTTGCTAATGAATCTGAAACTGCTCCACAGGGTACACCAAACTCCCTTTCAAATGGTTTGACTACCTCAGAGAAATGGGTTCAATTGCAGCCCCTGTGAAGCTCTTTAACAAAGTAAGTTTTCAAGTTTTTTTTTAATTTATTTGAGAAATAATGCATTGTGTTTTGTCTTCATTTACACACTGGGATGAATGTCTTCTCTTGCTTTCAGGAAGTACCGAATCACGGCTTCCGTATAGGTATGAAGGTGGAGGCAGTGGACCTGATGGAGCCACGTCTGGTGTGTGTCGCCACAGTGACCAGGATTGTCCACAGACTCCTGCGCATTCATTTTGATGGCTGGGAGGATGAGTATGATCAGTGGGTGGACTGTGAGTCTCCAGATCTCTACCCCGTAGGCTGGTGCCAACTGACTGGCTATCAGCTGCAGCCGCCTGCCACACAGAGTGAGTGAACAGTCCAGAAGATTCTGATTCTAGAAGGTTCAAATTGTTTCATAGCAAGACTGTTTATTCTCACATTGATAGTCTTCTAAACCTTTTTTTTTTAAATTCTTATTCTTTTGTTTTTTAATTTAGTTTTTCACAACTATTTTCTACTCTCTGTCTGACCCTTCGATTTAAACAGTTTGATACTGTAAATGTAAATTTAAATCTATATGTAAATGACTTCTATGATGGACTGACCTCTGTATACCAGCAAAGACATGTCAGAGTTACTGAATACTGAGTAAACACTGACATGTAAACTATCTTAAAACTATCTTAAAGGGGTCATATGATGCGATTTCAAGTTTTCCTTTCTCTTTGGAGTATCCAATCAATCAAGTGTCCTTTAACAGAGCACATAAAGTATAGCATGCGTCCCATGAATTATGTACTGTGCAAAGTGTAAATAAGAATAGGCTAATAATTTTTATTATAATGTATTATTTAATATTGGTTGTACAATATGGAATAATAACACTATAATAACATATTTTTTAATGCTTATCTTTTGTGCATAATTTTTAACTCGGAGCAAATAAAAATCCTGCTGTCCTTTTTATTGTAAACTACAATGTGTTTGAATGATGTTTAATGGTTGGCTGCATAGAATAACAGCTTGTCTGTTTCGTCCTCAGCCACAAGAGAAGCACCACCAAATGTCTCCAAACAGAAAAAGAAGACTGCACAGTATAAAGGACAAAAGAAAAGTGAGTCCAATCTTTTCAGTCTGTTCATCTTCTCTCTCCTCTCACCGAACACTGATTTTGGGTGCAAAATTGGTCCAGGAGCTGTTTCTTCTGGGTTTCCCTCAGCTTTGGGTCTGGTCTGGTTCTGCTTGATAGTCGATAGCAGTTGTCACGATTCAGTGGGGTCACGGATAATTACAGAAAAACTGTAGCCGTCATCCTCATCCCCGGGTGAGAAAGAGTGGCACCCTCCCTCAGGGTGACAGAATCTGAGCAAATGTTTGGTAGGGGTCAGATTTTAAGTCATCATGTTGGGTTCCACATTGCCTTTTCTCAGGGCTTCAGTTTCTCAACACAATCACCCTTCTGACATGTAGAAATCAAATTAAGGTTCAGATCTGAGTTGAAATTTGGGCTCAGCTGGAGGATGGCCCCGCAGTGTTGTGGAGTGGAGCTCGATAGCCTGCGTAACCTCAGTCTGGCTTGGTGTTTAGAGAGGAAGATTCCAGTTGGGAGGAGGCCGATCGGTTTGGGTGGGCCTCTGAGGAGGAGGAGCTTCTCGGGCGATGAAGAGCAGACTCCGCCCCCTTACCTGTCCCCCTTCTCTGGGTCCGGGCGACCTCCCACCGGTATCGGCGTTTGGTATCGGGGCATTTTAACGAGTACGAGTACGAGTACAGGAGGCCAGTATCGGGCCCGATACCGATACCAGTATCGGTATCGGTGCATCCCTATTTGTTACACAAGCAAAACATGTACAGTGACCAACAAGCATTATTTCTTCAATAAAACAAGGACGTTCTTATTAATATGGTTACAGTATTTTTACCAGGTATGTGCTCCAACACTGCAGGTTATTTACTCTTCAATAAAAGTCTAATTGTATGGGTTTTCTGTTTGATGTATTCTGTCTAAAAATCATCAAATCTTCAATATGAAAGACAATCAAACAATCAAAAAAAAGACCTTCCATAACACATATTATAGAATAGCTAGCTACCCATTCTTCAGCTGTAGGTGGCTCTGGCCATTTTCTATATTCCTAGCCATATGGGATGACATGAGAGTGAGTAAATGACAAAAATGTTCATTTTTGAGTGAACTCTCCCTTTAAATATTACAGGTAAGTTCATGAGCCTACTAAACTACTTAAACTTTGTGTATCGCTGCCTGGTTGAATTCATTATGTGAATGCTACAACATGCTTAAATTTGAAAACGTAAAAATGGAAAAGGTTGGTTTCTGTTGGTTATTCCAAATGTTTCTTTTGTTTTGAGATTTTTTTTTTTTTTTTTAAGTGAAGTGATACTTCTCCTTTCCACCCACACTTCTGTAGATCTGAGTGTAAAATGTTAGTCCTCAGGTGTTCTCACTGCCAATTTTTCCATTTACTGTTGCATTTAGTTGTCCTCTTTTACCAGTGTGTTTCATTTTATGGATTGGTATTCTTGTCTCTCGTTTTTGTTTTCCAGAGGCCTCGCTGCAGTTGAAAGAAGAGACTCCTGAGATGGACGAGTTCACCTTCTCACAGGGCATCTCAGACCAGGAGAGCAACGGCTCAGGCAGTTACTACATCAGACAGGAGCCCTGAGCAGCATCAGCCATCACGGAGCCTCACCTCACTGCCAACAGCACTGGAAAAATCCCACTCGGAGCGATGCACACGAGGCCTGGGAGAAGACACAGTGACTTCCCCTCACACCAGGTCTCTCTCTTTTCGTTTTATTGTTCCTTTTCAGGTTTGAAAAGCTTGAAGAATGGACTTCTCAGTCATTGATCCGAGAGAGAAGGGTGTGTATAAGAGGGGATTTTGTTTGAAATGGGGATACTGTTTTTTTTTTTGTCCTGACTTTTCGCCCGATGGACTTTTTCTCCTCAGTGTTCATTGTACTTGAAGTTTTCTTCGCTTTTTCTGTCTTTATTTCCCCATTTGGTGAGGGAAAAAACCCCCCAACTTTTTGGGGGGTAAGATTTCAGTACATTGTGTGTTTCTTGCGCTGTTTAATTTGTTTTGGATGGGTGTGCATTTGGTAAGAGTAGTAGAAATCTATATTGAGACAGTATATTCATACATGTATGACATTCATATTAAACACACACATATATAAATATTTAAACGTATAAATATAGTAGTGGAATGAGGGATGATGGTGTTGAAATCAAACCTTACTGGTATGAAGAGTAGACTAATGGAAAACACTCACAATTAGCCAGCGTCAAGAGTTGCAGGTCATCAGGTGTCTGAGTCATTTGTGCCGCATACACCATTAACAACCGTTGCATGATTAAAAAAAAGGATAGTTTTATGTTTGACTCAGAAGAATTGTGTGCACGGTCAGTTTCATCCCACACCTGACCTTTTTATTCACTTTCTGTGGTGTGAATTAATAGTATTTGGATGTTAAAAATACTGTCAATTCTGTCACTTGCCCTCATGATCTTTAAAACCTGTATGACTTTCTTTGGAACACAAAAAGAGAATTTTTAAAGATTTTTTTTAGCCATTTTTTTTTCTTCATTTAACAGTAAAATGGTACTGGTTCTGTCAAGCTCTAAAATTACCATTTAAAAAAAAAAAAAAAAGCTGTTTATATATTTGTTACTAGGGATGCACCGATAACACTTTTTCCAGTACTCGCCCGATACCGATACTTTTATTTTTGGTACTTGCCGATACCGATACCGATATTTTTATTGCATTTGTACATTTTTTAAATATTGGGTACAGAAACCAAAAGGGTATGTATAGTGGCTCTGGCCATTTTCTATATTCCTAGCCATATGGGATGACATGAGAGTGAGTAAATGACAAAAATGTTCATTTTTGAGTGAACTCTCCCTTTAAATATTACAGGTAAGTTCATGAGCCTACTAAACTACTTAAACTTTGTGTATCGCTGCCTGGTTGAATTCATTATGTGAATGCTACAACATGCTTAAATTTGAAAACGTAAAAATGGAAAAGGTTGGTTTCTGTTGGTTATTCCAAATGTTTCTTTTGTTTTGAGATTTTTTTTTTTTTTTTTAAGTGAAGTGATACTTCTCCTTTCCACCCACACTTCTGTAGATCTGAGTGTAAAATGTTAGTCCTCAGGTGTTCTCACTGCCAATTTTTCCATTTACTGTTGCATTTAGTTGTCCTCTTTTACCAGTGTGTTTCATTTTATGGATTGGTATTCTTGTCTCTCGTTTTTGTTTTCCAGAGGCCTCGCTGCAGTTGAAAGAAGAGACTCCTGAGATGGACGAGTTCACCTTCTCACAGGGCATCTCAGACCAGGAGAGCAACGGCTCAGGCAGTTACTACATCAGACAGGAGCCCTGAGCAGCATCAGCCATCACGGAGCCTCACCTCACTGCCAACAGCACTGGAAAAATCCCACTCGGAGCGATGCACACGAGGCCTGGGAGAAGACACAGTGACTTCCCCTCACACCAGGTCTCTCTCTTTTCGTTTTATTGTTCCTTTTCAGGTTTGAAAAGCTTGAAGAATGGACTTCTCAGTCATTGATCCGAGAGAGAAGGGTGTGTATAAGAGGGGATTTTGTTTGAAATGGGGATACTGTTTTTTTTTTTGTCCTGACTTTTCGCCCGATGGACTTTTTCTCCTCAGTGTTCATTGTACTTGAAGTTTTCTTCGCTTTTTCTGTCTTTATTTCCCCATTTGGTGAGGGAAAAAACCCCCCAACTTTTTGGGGGGTAAGATTTCAGTACATTGTGTGTTTCTTGCGCTGTTTAATTTGTTTTGGATGGGTGTGCATTTGGTAAGAGTAGTAGAAATCTATATTGAGACAGTATATTCATACATGTATGACATTCATATTAAACACACACATATATAAATATTTAAACGTATAAATATAGTAGTGGAATGAGGGATGATGGTGTTGAAATCAAACCTTACTGGTATGAAGAGTAGACTAATGGAAAACACTCACAATTTGCACTACAGGGATTCAAATATATGTATTGGCCTGTAAAATGATAGTAAAACCTGCAGCTTCATTGTATTATGTGATTAGCAAACATAATTATAGAAGTGGGATGTGCTCAAGTCAAAGTGAATATTGTGATATGCAAAAAATATATATATATATTGTTTGACATTTTACACCAATGTTTATGGTTTTGATTTCGTTCTAAAGAGCCATTTTTATACGGGCGGTCAAAGTATTTTGTGAGCCGGAATAAAACGTAAGCAATCACTGCTACCTGAACACTACCTTCCTATCATCTTTGATGTTGACCGCACAGCAGAGAATTCTTCTGGTAAACTTTCTAGTAGTATTGCGAGTCTCTGAACAATACAGCGCCAGCTTGTTTGTTTACAAGCCTCCTTGTTCGTGCATCAGCGAGGAATCGCATCCCATGCATTTTCCTTTACTCGCAGCATTCATTCCAGAATAAAACCATTTTTACTACCTCTAAAGAAAACATGATTTTAAAATACACAGGTTGAGGATTCATGTGGTTCCTTGGCCTCGCTAAGGTTGCAATAGGTAGTTTTCATGCTCCATTTGAAAGGGCATATTCATTATATTTTATGCAAATGGCAAATATCCACACTTGGACACATGGCTTTTTTCGCTTTAAAAGTCTACACATCATTTATATTTGTATCATAGCATGTTATCGACAGTTCTTGAAATGGAAAAGAATGTTATGCAATAATAATGTCTGTTGTTTTATGATGTCTTACTCTGAAAACAAAAATCACACAGCTCATACGTATATAGACTTAGATGCATTCTATAGACTTAAAACAAAATATTCTTACAATATATTGCAAAACTGTGACAATTTTCTAAGAGCTAGACTTGAGCTTTCCCCGTTATAGATCATTCGGAGTGTAAATAACCTTTATAACATCACATAGAATCAACCAATTTACATTTGCATAGTGGTTTATCTTAGTATAATTATAAGCTCTATTCAATACCAGTAAGGTTGTTGGTGAACTCTCAGGAAACGTATCTCATTGACTTCTGCTTTATTTGAAGGGTCGTGGCTAAGCGCTTCTAAGATCATCCAGTTCTACTTCCAATACCGCCGTTTTGTTTGTTTCCAATATTTGAAGCTCCTGACAAATGTGACCATGTCTTTGTTTTCCTTCTTTTCCTCTGGTTCAACTTTGCTTGCATTCATCAAATGCTGATTACATTTTGTAAATGGTCACCCACGTGTTGTAGTTAGATCCATGTTAAATTATGGTTTGTTGTATAAAGATCCAATGTATTTTTTTAACAAGTTGTGGTGTTTTTCTTCTCTCTCTTTTGTAATTTACTTTTTCCTTCATGGGTTTTAGCAGATGTTTGTACTGAATCATTATGAATTGGTTTATTTTTAATTTTTTAAGTCATTTTTGGGTTTCTTCAGTAGCTGTTGTGTTGTATGCATGTGTAGTTTTCCAAATGTGAGGCACTGTTGTGTATTTAATTTGTAAACGTCAAACTGGGACTTTATGGCTACATTTGACATCAGCAACCAGATCAATATCGTCATGTTCATACTTCTTTCAATGCTTATTCTTTATGCAAATGTTGCATTATTTTCAATGGCAGATTTTTTTCTCTCTCATAAACTCCATCCATAGCATCAGGATTTAGGTACACACTGGTTATGATCATGCTTGTCAACTAAATTTGTTTTTAATTTTTTTATTATAATAAGACCAAAATCTCAATCATTTGCAATTAAAATATGACTGTTGAGGCAAATTTAGCTGCTACCCTCAAATGAATTTAAGCCCTAACGCACAACTTCACCTTTAAGTAAACACTCTTGTCAGCAGAATTGATGCCTTATCCTCGGTTATGTTTTTTCTCTACACAAGTAAAGTTATTGAGTCAAACATAGAGAAGCGGAATACAAAATATAAAGAAAAATATGTTGTCCAGTAGAGTGATTATCAGTGCATGCAGCAATGTGAGAATCTTATGAAGGCCAGTGTTGTTCTGGTCTCGATACTAACACGGGTTTTTGTGATGTTCCCTCTGTCCTCAGTAATCACATCACGGTGCTATATATATATATTTGATAACTCATTCATTAGGTCTATTAAAAGAATTAAGTCTGTAATTATAAGTTGGAGAGCTGGTGATTATAACTTCAGATCAGTATTTTGGATACAAGTAGCCGAAATCATTTGTTATAACGATGAAAAAATAAAGAACTAACATTGACCCTCATAGTACATAGAGGTGAGGGTGGTGGGTTTGTAACTTTTTTGATAGAGTCTGTATCTGGTCTTTGCTTTATTTCTGATGATGATGATGCGTGCTGTGATATGGGGTTTGATAGCTTATATGTATATAGTTCAACTGTGGGGGAAGCTTTTGTTGGTTGAATTTTGTTAATTTGTTTACAAGCATTTCAAACTGTTTCCGCATGGCTGTGAAAATGTATCTGTTGAATTTGAAAAAAAAAGAAGACATTTTTACACTGAATTAAAAAGGATACTAAACGTTTATCTGTATAAGTTGTTTTCCCTTCTTGGTACTTAAAGGCATAGTTATTTTTTAAATCTTTATCAAAAATAAGGACAAAAATGCAAATGACAAACAACAGGAAAAATACAATATAAGATAAAAATTAAATAAACAGTGGTTTAATTTTTTTTTTTTCAGGTACAGACTATTTAACAGTAGCATTCACGTAAGAAATACTACAGAAATTGAATAACCAAATGTTAAAATAAAACACTGAATAGTCTTCTCTATGAATTAAATATACAAGCTACTAAAGTTATTCAGTCAAGAGTGAGTGATTTTCTCATTTTCTGTTGTTGTTTGATTAACATTAGCGACATGGAGAGCAGCAGGTTTATTAGGCTGCTGTAACTTTACGACCTAATGCGCAGATCCAACATGCCAAACACTTTGAACAGACACAACTCAGGAAATACAACTCTTATTAAAACGCTGTCAAGGAATAGTATCGTTTTTAACAGCAGGGTATTACAATGCTTTTCTGGCATCGCTATATATTGTGCAACACGTGTATAAATATAGTCATAACAAGACTGGCCATTTTTAAAAATGTTCATTGTTTTTGGTGTAGAACAAAGAGACATGGTTCTTTAACAGTTATTTAAAGCAGGTCCATCCAGCACTCACTCCCACTATTACCATGTGCTGTATAAAAAGCACAGTACATCCACTAAACAAGCACTTTAAATAAAACCTTTAATTAGAAGGT